AAGTATATTAGTTTACCTTCAAACACACCGTTCAAGTTAGTCGTAGATTCAGCCGGCGCCGATAAATCAGGCATTGCATACAAAGTGACAATTGAATAAAACTAGACGCAGATTCCTTCGTGATAAATCACTTGCGCGCGGGATGTTTTAGTATCCGTGGACCTTCTATAGGATCGCGCAACAATTAATTCACGTAATATGTATTTCCCACGATGTTTAGTATACCTTTATAGGAATATATTAAGAAGTACGATGCGTCTAGGAATTTTAAAATGGCGTCGTGTGACGTCACCATCAATAGTTAAACCAACATGTGATATCATTTATGATTACTGTACCTTTGTATCTTTTCACATCTATGAAAAGAAGGTATTCGCAGGCTAGTGCTAGTAAGCTGTCCCCAAGAGGCAAGGATATGATGATGGAAATTTCTTTACCAGTATCAACCATTATGCGCGCAAATCTTAATTCTGTTTGGGGCGCCGTGTTGCGACACAAGTCGTTTATCACTGTGATGCAGTGCGCGCCATTAATCACAATGTACAATCGTGCTAAACAACAACGAATCAGTGAACTGTAATGGAACCTGGAACTATTACTGCGGGACATTCAGTCGAGGGAAAATGACGTCTTGCCATTTTAGTGGTTGGGAACAAGTGACGACCGCAGTGAATAGGTGTAATTAGTTTTTATCTAAAAACACACTGGCTAAAGTAACTGCACCCAATAGCTATTATATCTATGGCTGTACCTGTAAAAAACGAAGCTAGAATTAAATAACTTCCGGAGGCACTTTCTTACTTCTTAAGGCGTCGCTTTCAACTGACAACTTTAAATATGAAACGAATGTAAGCTAAAGTTCTAACCACCAATTGGGGGCTATTTGAGGCCCCTGCCTTTGCTTTCAGTATAGTGTATATCCAGTATTATAAGATCAGTTTTTAATAAATTGAGAAGTATTCGAGCAGCGCGTGACATCGTGATTTCGACTCCTGGGCAATCCAATTTTGGCTGTATTATTCTTACAAACTACGAAGCTAAGCCCTGCGTGACAATACTAAAATCTTCTTTCGACCCAGAATTCTTCAGTCCCATCCTCTTATTTTCAGATTTTTCCTCTCTCGTAGGGTCGTCCATACATAGAGAAAATGTCCAGGAAGATGTTGTATTGGCTTCAACAAGAACGGCGAGAGACCGCTCTGGATATGGCGAAGAAAACTGAGGAACTTAGGATGTTGGAGATCTCTACGACAGTAAATAACGTTGTGTGAATGTGTCATTGTCTATAATTTATTGTAAAGCCAGTCGTTTGTCTGAGCACAAACCAACTTCTTGCGTTAATTATCCCTATTTCGTCTATTCATTCGTTGAGAATGGTTTAGTGCTACACGTCAAATTACAGGGCAAAATATAATCCTCAATTTCAAAAAGAGCCATGCACCAATGACATTTTTCATGGCAAGTTTTATATGCTCTTGGATGCAGCAAAATATTGACAAGTTTTAAATGCCGAATGGGCTGATTCGAACGCTGTTCATGATAGAATTACTCGTATTTACAACCGACCTGGAAAAACATACCGCCGTACCTACGACAGAATATTACCAGGACAAGACACTTGTATCATTGTGTATGTCAAGAAACCAACCTATACGCTTCCAATTCTGTTTTTTTCCTTTTAAATACAAGTGTTTAGTCGACAGCATTTTAAAATAAAACGTCACTATGATAACTGCAGTAAAGCTTCGTCATGGAGGCACCTTGAATGACTTTAGGTGATATGATTTTTATAATATCATGGTTACAAGATCTCGCATTTTAGGTTGATTGAATACTACTAGCATTAAATTATGCTCTTTAGGCAAACCTTGCAGGATTTGGAAAAATCATTACTTTTTCTGGGGAAGATTTTGATAAAGCCTTCGGTAGGATTTTGAATCAAGAAATTATTATATTGACTAGATATTTTGATGAATAAGAAATATTGCGTTATTTCCGGTAAATATTAAACAAAACTTTACAGATGAGAGTCATGACACGTGATCTACTTTGTGTTAAGTTTTTCGCTTTTTGTAGTATTACTGTTTAGTATTCCCAAGCGATACTGTGTAGTCGATACCTATTGAAGTCATTCGGTTCTCTCCATTTCTTTAAACAGGGTTATTTATTATTAACTTTACTATCACATGCATGATAAGTATTTGTTACGTGAGAAATGTAATGTTTGTTGTTCATTCCAGGTGATCTGGAATGGCGGCTGAGGACTGGGACTGGGGCTAGTTGTCAAATGAAAATCCATTTCTCGGTTGAAACAACTTGAAATATACTTTATTACGGTTTCAAATTTATGTCAGAGCTATAGTTCTTATAACTTAACATGCATAATCACAAAATTTCTTCTAGTCAGTTCATATTAAATTATAAAGAATAACATAAGATTTAAACCATTTAATATTGCAAAATGGATTAGTATTTTGACAGACAACCCTTCCGAGCGCTGATTTACTAAAAAATGAGTGCGAGATTGCCTGCTATATGACGATATTTGATCCTGAAAATGCGAGGGACATAGAAACCTTATCTCAGTTGAAATAAAATAATAAATCCCAAAAGTAAATTAGCTTGTAGGTACACCACGTAAGTATTTAATAGTGCAAAGCTTTCTATCCGTTAACCCGGGCCTTCATCAGTGCAACGTTAACGAAGAAAGCTTTGAGTTTTAAATACTTACGTTGTGTACCTACAAACTAATTTACTTATTGATGTCTCTGACTCTATGCATTGCAAACGTACAAAGATTTGAATTATTATAAATAATAATAAAGTGATCGGTATAGACCTGCCCCAAATCCGTCTTTTCTTGTTTTGTATTATGGCATGATGTTTTCATCGAGTCATCCAAACAAAATCACCCAAGTTCACCTCCTGCTGTGAACTGTGATCTCAGAATGTTGCGAAAAATCGAGTCCGGTACTAAACATGTATATATGCATGGTATTTTCACATCTCTTGCATTGATTTGTTGATTTACAAATGTAAACTCCTCGCATATGAAGCACAAAATTCATTCGTGTGTGTTCGCGTGTGTATAACTTGGAGATATTGCATTTAGCTGTGTATATTTTGTTATGATTAAGCAGCTAATGATAGCTGGTAATAGAATAATCTAGGTAATAGTATGCAGGAATTGGACATATTTTGATCGAGTTCACCTCCCACACAAGCGACCTTGTGACAATATATTTGGATTTTGTAAACACTATCCAGATTGCTGTTATTAAGTCAATCAGCGTGTTGATCAAATTTTGGTTACACAATTTACGAATGAGAATGAATTTATTTCGGTTCAGTCAATTGCATTGTTATACTTAGTGGTGGCTCGTTCAATCATTGTAGTAGTAAATTATGTTCTGTCATATCCCAGCATGCCCCAGCGTATATATGAATTGAAACTTGTGAATTGTGATTGCATCCAAACGCAATAAAATCTGCAATAATTTGTAGTGATTATATCTTATGACAATTACTGTTTCTACAATCATTGTTGACATGGTTAAATATTTAATGAAAAATTAACAAAAATATGCAAACATACCAGATTTTTGAATGCTTAATACCAGATTATCAATGATAAGACAATGTTTTTTATTACAAAACGACTAGGCCCTGCTAAATATCTCAAACACGCAAATTCTTATTAATTAAAACTTCACATGGTCTTAAGAAAATATTGCAGTTTTCGAGCATTCAACCATTAAATCTCAGCATGACCCAAGGCGATGGCAACCATTCGCATATTGCATTGAAATGGAACAAAATACAGCAATAGTGTCCTTTCTTCTCCTGCAATTAATGGGCGAGTCGAAGTTGATTCTAATTTTGTTTATTTGCTTCCAAAACAAGGTGTGCATATTTGAACAGTTGTATTAAAACCCACTATCTATGGTAACTGCAGCGAGACGTGATTGTACTTAGAACTAGAAGTTCTCGTCAGAAGCTCTTTTTGGGATGACAACTAGGATTCTTGCAATTTCATGGTAGATCAGATATTGCAATTTAACTCTATATGTTGTGTTATGATAAGGCAGCTAATAATAACTGGTACTAGAATAATCTATTGACAGAGTATTGTATTAAAAAGTATGCAATCAAAGACGAAAGAGCATTGTTTTGTGTGTTCATAAATTTTTGGTAGAATAACATATTAATGAAAAGAAATTTATCTGAGACTGAACACAGTACACAAAAGTGTCTTTTTTACTTTAATGTCACCCAAGGGTGATTGCCTCTCGCTGTGAACTTTTAATAGCAGTCGAAACTAAAACTCGCATGCAAAACAAACTCCCACGCAGTTCTATTATATCCATGTCGGTAACATGGATAACACGGAGTCGGAGTTCCGGAGCCGGAGTCCCGGAGTCAAAATTACGGAGTCTGACGTCATAATATTGGAAAACACGGAGTCAAAAATTATGGAAAACACGGAGTCTGTTAAAAAGAATGGAAAACACAGAGTTAAAAATATGGAAAACACGGAGTCAAAAATTATGGAAAACACGGAGTCTCTTAAAAATATGGAAAACACGGAGTCAAAAATTATGGAAAACACGGAGTCTCTTAAGAATATGGAAAACACGGAGTCAACGTGAATTATGCAAATTATAGCGTGTTTTAAACAACATGGCGTTGAATTATGCAAATTATAGCGTGTTTTAAACAACATGGCGTCAAATTCGCGTAATTTTTAAGAGACTCCGTGTTTTCCATAATTTTTGACTCCGTGTTTTCCATATTTTTAAGAGACTCCGGGACTCCGGCTCCGAAACTCCGGCTCCGGAACTCAAACTCCGTGTTATCCATGTTACCTATCCATATCTGGCATATCATATTTACATTTCCGACGACTGAAAATTATTGCTGATATTGCAGGAATTTTATTGCAAAAATTTTCGGATTTTGCTGCAATCCATGTGTTTCCACATGGAAACGAGCAGGAAAGTTGCAGGAAAGAGACTATAAAAGGAGATGGTTCATTCACATGATTCATTGGATTGTTTCAGACAATCGTACTTTCATGATTCATTTGTTTGCTGTCAAGTGTGTATTGACTGTTTAGAAGACTTCGTATTAAAACTGTATTGAAACTTTTGTATAAAAAGAGGTTTATTATCTTTTATACATACTACAATAAAGTTAAACCAGTGTTCAACCCATCGCTGGCAAAAGATTTGATTGTAGTTTGAGAGTTGAAGGCGAGATGGATTATAAACAAGGCATTTTCAGAAAGGTAATAGTAATACATACATTTCTTACGGTCTTATATAAAGGTATGGCACATTTGGGTATTTTAACTATTTTTGGATTCTGAATTTACTGGTTACTCTGTATTGCTATATAATTAAACTCTTTAAGATGATTTAAGAGCTGTATTTGGCTGGCAGTCTCATTTCTTAACCTATTTACTTAATTTTACTAGTAAGGTCTGAACATTCACACTACCAATCCAATTCACTTCTGACATGAAATATAGTCGGTTGTTGATAAAGTAGTACTGCGTTGGCTTCAGGCACAGGAGATTTCGAGGAATTTTGTCATCTAAAATATTGTATTGTAATATGTCACTCATTGTGAAAGAATAACCAACTGAAATTTTTTATGTATATTTTTTTAGAATGCAGGGTCAAGGCATTTCAGTGAGTTGGAAAAATCATTGTTGGAGGGGACGGTTTTAAGCTCCTTTAAGAAGGGGTTGAATTGTTTTATTTCTATCTCATGGGTATGTATGTAATAAAATTGTGTAATATCCATATAATTATTGCCTGAAATCAGAGTTGATTATGAGTTTGCAGTTTTTTGGTGTTATAAGTGATACAACATTTGGCTTTTTAATGAATTCTAATAAAATTATTCTATATACATTTCAAAATTGAATTGGTAGTGTATTTTTGGTTTAAGAAGATTGCCAGATATGTTTACCTAAAAACCTAACACTGCGTTCTTGTTTCAGTTGTGTTCCATTTGCATTTGGAATGTGTTCCATAAATATGGGAGAAAATGGAACGCAAATTGGAATGAACTGGAACGCGTTTATGAACGAATCATCTAAAATATTGTATTGTAATATGTCACTCATTGTGAAAGAATTATCATTAATCAACTGAAATTTTTTATCTATAATTTTTTAGAATGGATGGATAAGGTGCTGCCGTTTCAATGAGTTGGAAAACTCATTGTTGAAGGAGACGAGAAGGATTAATATGGAGTTTGAGAAAATAAAGAATGACGAGAAGAACTTTAAGGAGGGGTTGGATTATTTTAATCCATTCTCATGGGTATGTATGTAATAAAATTGTGTAATATCCATATAATTATTGCCTGAAATCAGAGTTGATTCTGAGTTTGCAGTTTTTTGGTGTTATAAGTAATACAACATTTGGCTTTTTGATGAATTCTATATATTTTACAATTCTACATTTCAAAATTGAATTAATAGTGTATTTTTGGTTTAAAGAAGATTCCCAGATATGTTTATTGACACACAGTGCCACTCAGAAAAAACCTAACACTGCGTTCTTGTTCCAGTTGCGTTCCATTTGCATTTGAAATGTGTTCCATAAATATGGAAGAGAACGCAAATTGGAATGAACTGGAACGCAATTGGAACGCATTTATGAATGTGTTTATGAACAAGTTCGGACAGTAGTTTTTTTCTGAGCGGTACTGTACTATTAGCATGTTGGTTTGTTCTTTGATATGTATTTGATAGTCTATTTGATTGACTCCTTTATATATCAAATCATAGTCATTGATTAACTAAAAATTCTGTGTCTATAATTAGATACGATTTGATGTTAACTAAGACAACTTTACCTGCAAAATCTTCAACAATTCAACTAGAAAATGCACTGCTAGAAATCTCAACTTTAATCCTAAATCAGACTCTTACCCAGTTACTAACAGTAAACCATGAGAAATTAAGAATCAAATTCGTGAATTAAATTAACAATCATAATCGTGGATTCTGGACATGGAATTATTACCATGACACCGAATGACATCTAAGAACACTTTCATGATCACATGAACACTAGCAATTTAAAAGTTTTGTTCCATGTAATTGTTAGTTAGTTGTAGTTGACTCCAGTACTTGTAAGTTGTATTAAGTTTTAGTTAATTAATATTTTTCTATAAGGCCTCCATCGTCAAATTTACATAAACGCGAGCAAAGAATGGAACAAAGACGCAATTTTCCAGATGTTGTGAACAAATACTGTAATGAAACGTTGTATTAATATCAATCATTGTGGAAAGAATTATCAATCTAAAACTATTTATCTTTGGTAAAAACAGAGAAGGGAGGTGTGGGACATAATGGAGGAATTGAAGAAGGTGGAGAAGATGTCGGATTCAAAGTTGGATAAACTGGTGATGGAGGAGATTAACAAGTTGAAGATAGAAGTAATGAAGAACATAGTGAAGAATCTAGATTGTAGGATTTACTTTTCATGGGTTAAGGTAAACAAAATCATATAATATCCCTACTGTCAGAAATCACAGTTGATCCTTAGCAAGTTAGTTGGTCGTTCGTCAACATGTAGGCCTTCACAGGTGATACAATGGCTTTTTCATTGATTCTGTAAACCCAGCTGCCGATTATTACCTCATGACAAAGTGGAATTAGTAACAGCTCAGCTGACAAGTGGAGTACTGTATTTTGGAAAAATATCTAGCAAATAATATTCATTATTTTTGGTTTAAAGAGAATTGCCTGAAATTCAAGTTGCCATTAATATGTTGATAGTTTCTTGAAATATATATAGGAATATAAGACTTGATGTTAAAATTGCTTAATCCAGCACAAATATTTTCACCAGACCCTTACCTAGCTTCTAATCCTAAAGTATTAGATTAAGAATCATATTTGTGGATTCTGGACATGGAATTATTACCATGACACTGAATGGTTGCTACATTATAATGAAATGTAGAATTTTTTTTGCCTGATCCAGCTGTTTTTCTTTATTTCTTTACCAGACTCTGAGTTGCAAATCATTATAGAAAAGTTGTAACTCCACTGTTGTTTTAAAGACATTATTGCGCTCCTCCTAGCTATGATTCAATGTTGACAAATGTTTAAATCTATAAAATATTGTATTAATGTCATTCATTGTGGAAACATCTAAAATTATTTATCTTTAATTGGTGAATTAAGGGTTTCGAAGAAGAAAGGAGGGTACTGAATGAATTGAAGCAGATGTTAGATTTGAAGTTGGATAAACGGATGATGGAGGAGATTAAGAATTTGGTGATGGAAGTAATGAAGAGGCTGTATTGTTTCAATGTAGGTTACTTTTGAATTGTTATATCTCTTAAATATCCTGTATTGTCGGAACATTTATCACAATTTCAGTTCACTTTATTCCTAAATGAATAAGAGATTTCAGTTTATGTTCAAAGAAATTCAAAACATGCGAAATTTGGGTAATTTCTAAATCATGGAGTCCCCAAATGTTATAAGGAGAACTAATTAATGCACAGAAACCGCTGTAACCTGTCTTTAGGTTTCTTTTCATGGGTAAGTAAATAAAAATGTGTAATGTAGGCCTTAAACCCGTTTTCCACCAGGCGAATTTATTCGCGCGACGCGAAGCGATATCTGAAATCCGGTGATGTGATTGGTTTGGGAAAAAATTCGCCGCGAAAAAGTAGAATCGCTTCCTACAGCGTCTTTACACATTTTTACTATTAATATGTTGATAGTTCCTTGAAATGTATTGATCGACTGTTACTCCTTTGTATATCAAATTGCCGTCACGCATTACAAATTCAGCAAATTTCAAAGCATCTATAATAAGATAAAATTTGATGTTAAAATGGCTTCATCCAGCACAACTATTTTAAAATTTTGTTTATCATTAGGGAACATAGTTCAACTATATACAGTTGAGTAATCACACTTGATTACTGCGATAGCACTAGTAGTAATTCCATGACCATGCAGATTCACCAGAAATATATAACTTATAAACCAGCCCCTAGCTGTACTAATCCTAAAGGATTAATCATTGTGGAAAGAAATATCAATCTAAAACTATTTATCTTTGGTGAAAACAGAGAAGAAGGGAGGTGTGGAACATAATACAGAAATTGAAGAAGATGAAGAAGGTGAAGAAAAAGGTGAAGAAGATTTTGGATTTGAAGTGGGATAAACTGATGATGGGGAAGATTAAGAAATCGCGGATGGAAATAATGAAGAACCTGGTGAGAGAGCTGGTTTGTTTGTGTTCTTTTTCATCTGTGCACAAATAAAATGGTGGAAAAAATTATCTAAATTTTTTTATCTTTGGTGAATTCAGGAGGTGGAAGCAGCAAGGAATGGAATGATGGAGGTAATGATACAATGGCCTTTTGCTCGATTCTCTAAACCCAGCTGCCAATTATTACCTCAATAATACAAAGTCAATTTACTAGCGGCTGAGTTGGCAAGTGGAGTACCGTGTATTTTGGAAATATACCCAGCAATGTATTTTGTGAATTTGTTATTCATTTAAGCTGCATCATCCCCATCATCCCAGGTCTACAAATAATAATTATATAATGATTGCCTCGGTTTCCTTCGTTCTTTACCAATGTATATAAATCTCGTATTCACCCTACAGTAAAATGTGGGTAATTGTCTAAAAAACAGGCGGGACTTCTGAATGTTACCTGGGGCTGGGGAATTATGGGGGTGAAATATGATTTGGTTACATGGTAGGATGATTTATATTTTCCCGCAAACAAAATTTTCTTCTCTAAAACAATAACTGTACTCGTACAATAGACCATGCATACAAATCAAACGACAACAACATCGAATGAATTTAATTCAAGAGCAACAAGTTTTGAAAATTTACATTACCTCCATTACACAAAAATGCAGCATTTCGATTTTTCATAAGCAATTTTGTATTTTCATCCCCTCAGGAACGTTCCAAAGTATATTGATTTCATAATGATATATTTCATCGGTGCCGAGTGAAAAACTGAGTCCTAAAATGATTCATTTTCACACTAGAGTAGAGACGCATAATGCGTCTTTAATACGAAGAAGACGGTTATTCATCTTCAGTATAAAGACGGACAACAGACGCATTATCCGTCTAGACGAACTCTACCGTTGGTTATTCGTCTCTAAGACGAAAAACTGAACATTAATCGTGTTATGCATAGACGTATTATGTGTCTGTTGTCCGTCTTTACACTGAAGACGAATAATCAGTCAAAAAATATTTCTCTAGTGTGAAAACGGCCATTTCCGCAAACTACAACAACGGCGTCGCTCGTCTTGCTATAAACAACGTTCTAAATTAAAATCGGAATTCCAAATTCAGTTAATCCACGCTTTATTGTCTGTAATTCAGCGATCTTAACATAAAATAAGACTTAACATACACGCCCAAAATGACCTCATACAGTTAAGCCGTCTTAACATAAAATCTTATCTCATTTTAGGCCCGTTTCAGAAGTCGAACTTTTTATGTGTCGAACCTAATGTTAATAAGCTAAAGTCTTTCTTTAAGTTCATTTGCATTCGATTCGGCACATAAAAATTTTGACGTCTGAAATGGGCCTAAAATGAGATATGATTTTATGTTAAGATGGCTTAACTGATTTAGGATAGCTTATCATCTGGGTATTAATTGATCATTAGGAAAAGTAGGCTTTCTTTAGGTGTTTTTTGAATCTCAAATGAAAGATTCTTAAAAATCATAACTCTCCATTGATAGCTCTCTGTATGTTGCGCCAATCGAGCTCCTTAATAATTTTTTTTGCTTTATCGTCCTGAATCGTTATGCTGTTTTCTGTATTCTCTTACTTCATCCATGTCTGCACACATGTCAATTTTTTATCCATGATGAAATGATGAAAACATTTTTTTTTGCAATAAAGGACCAGTGTGAAATGGAAGAAAGGAAGCAAGAGTGGAGTGGTGAAAAAAGATTTTCTTCTTCATCCAAGCACAGTGTTCATCTGCAATTAGGCTTTTGGTATCCGCAGACATTGCCGACTAAGGATTTGATTTTTTACATTCTAGTTTGTGGCTTTTTTGAGACGTTTTTATCACATGACATAAATTTTCAGCAAGATTGTAGATTTCCGATAAAAAATAGAGAAGCCACACAACTACAACTTGCTATAGGTTATAAAAAAAGGAGCGATGTAATCGAAGCGAAAAAGCGAAAATTGAGGGGAAACTTTTCACAAGAATGGAGCACGATACCCAAGACTCCCTTCCAGATATCCATGATCCATTACAAGGTAACAGAAAATAAAGTAGACCATTGGCAGATAATCTTCCGGGCCTTTCTTGCGCGTTCTTCGTTAGTGCATTTGCTAATTTGTTCTGAAGAAGAGTTATGATAAAATTAAGTATGATAAAAAGTTCGTCAAAACTGTTAAGAGCATTTCATCGATATATGTTTTTGAGGACATATTGTTCACTCTATTACAGTTGTCTTTTTGAATACTACTATAAAACGTAATCGAAATTGAGGCCTCGTTTTGCTTGGGAAAATTTACTGACCAAGATCGCAAAAAAATGCCTGGGAGGATGGTATATTCAAAAACACTATTTATAACACATCCTGCATTATAAATTTTTATTATTCATGCTATAGATTTCTATGGAGAATCATCTCACCAACCAGATTTTTTTGATGAGATTGATAATATTTTTTGGCACCACATACCCAGTGATGCAGATTTGTCGTCGGAATTAGAATTGAACATATCAGGGTCCACTGAGAACGTCGAGATTGACAATACAGATTTCTCAGATCGAAGCTACCCTGCAGCAAAATAAGTTTCACTTCCAGACGACAGAATAGTGAATCTGACAACAGTGTCAGCAGAGTCCAAAGTGAACTCTAGTATTACTGAATTCGCAACTGACAATCCTGCCTCGGCTCCCAAATCTTCCAGGAAACTTCAGGATAACATATTGGTTGTTGATGCAACTCCGTCGGTCAAAGAAATCGTGGAATCGAGTCGAATGCTTGAGTCAAAGTTTTGTGATAATGGTATAATTGGTTCTGCTGCAGCAAAAACAAGTCTTCAAGATAACACAATATCGGAAGCCGATATTTCTTTTGACTCTATCACCACGGAGCGTGTTATAGGGGAAGAAATCCAAGAAATGACCACCCTTCCTGACATATTTTCAGGGGGAATAATTCACGGCGACAGCAGAAAAAGATCACACGGGGAAAGCAGTAACTCTGTCGAAGCCGTTGAGACTGCATTCAAGAAGAGATCGGAACACTCGTGTAGCTCTAAAGATGAACCCCCTACTAAGAAAAAGAAAAAGTGTTGCACGCGGGAAAAGAGGGAGAGGATTCTTAAGAAATACCAGGATGTTCAGAGAGAACATGAAGAAATAAAAGCCGATGAGAAAAAACTGTTAGAAGAAATCGGACTCTATGTGAACATTGTAGTTTGTAAGTTGAAAGGACGGTGTTATTACTGCAACAGTGTTCTCCAAGAAAGCCCCGAAGGCACAAGCGGTGAATTCAGCAGCAGAAACAGTCCACATGAGGAAAACTGCAACTCAACAGTTGCTTCTTTACTTGAAACAACAAGTGCTTTTGAGCTCATCTGTATCAGTATGAAAAGTAAGTTAAGAAGAATTCAGTGTATTCAGTGTAAAATATGATCAAGAGCAGAAATTCCTAAGAATTTCACTCATTTATTTTTAGTACGCATTAATTAGTAATAAATGTCTCCGTGATTGCATGACATAACACGAGACATCGTCAGCTTGATTATAGCAACACTAGCAAGTATATATAAAGCTAGAAGCTGTTTTGAGCTGTTTCCAGGATTATGATTTAGGGAACTGGTCATAAAGTAACTTATGGACGTTGGGAAACCTTGAGTTAGGCAAAAAGTTTTCGTTTTATAAGATACGGCACAAATTTTCTCGGCATTTTTCTACCATTTGTTAGTCATTTTATTTTGTTTCTCCGTCTCTTTTATTTCTTCAGGATGTCATCTTTTTGCTCTGACAATTGCAAGTTGTTTTTTTTTTCATATTTTGCCACATTTCGTGTTTTTTTTTTATCAAACACAATGGTCTTTTGGGCAAACTTTTCTTAGGCCATTTTCAATGATTTCCTAAATCTGCTAGTGAGTTATTTACTTTATATTCTGTTTTGATTCTGTCTACTAATAATTAACCCGCCAATCACATCACTTTAATCCACTAGTTCCCAGTACTGGAGCTAGATTTTCAGTCACAATTACAGAAATAATAATATCAAATTGTTTAGAAAACCTTCTCTTTCATTTTAACTTAAAGAACTTTCGGTTGAAACCTGCTTGTATAGGTTGCCATATAGGTCTATATAATTTTCTGTTAGCGCAGACTTTTTGATATTTTTTCAATAGTTTGGTGACCATTTTTCTTTGAATATCAGTTGCTGTTCGTTTATTTTTTTCTGTCTGGTCATTTTCGTATTTCTCTCTGTGAAGGATAATTTACTTTTACAACTTTTACAATTTCTTTTTTCATGCCTTTTCCATCATATTTTTTATTCTTCTGTAAGATTTCGTGGTTGTCACCGGCTTTCTGCGCTGTTTCTAAACCATGAAGCCTCTCGCAATCATCGACTTTTACATTTTAAAACAGTGCCGATTCTGCGGGAAGGTTCCCCAACGAATCAAAATGTTGAATATACTGAAAAACATACCGTTTCTTATGAACGTATTTCAGCAAATTACTTTATGACCAACCACAAGTTCCAAATCACTTGTAAAAGATACAGGGTTCGTACAGAAATTGAAAGTCCTTGAATAAATGAATAAAGAATTCATGGCGGTCCTTTAGTTTTGATGAAAAATGCTTGAATTCTTTGTTCACGGACGTTGATAGGTCCACAGATTTTGCATACTGGCGAATATCAAACACATTGTGAGTTTTCATTAGGGTCAACACTAGTTTGCTGATAATTGCCACAGTTTAAAACACTTTTTGCCCGCTTCATTTCCTGTTAAAAAAGTCTCAAAAAGTCAAAGGTGCATGCCCGACCTGTACGAATCCTGAAAAAGTGAGTTAATGAGCGCAAATGTAGCGCGTCCAAATATATAGGACATTACCATATATCACGTTAAATATATATGACTTAAATTTGCGCAGTTATTTTCAGTGAAAACCTGCGCTGACATTAAATGGCGAATGTTGACCGCGCGAATCTACAGTTCGGTTGTTTAAACTCTTCATGTATAAAACAGTAGTTTTTGAATATGATGCATGTTGTTAAAATGTGAGAAATTAAAATTTCTATTGACCCTAAAATGATTTCTAGATCAGGGGCCGGTTGTATCAAAGCCGGATAGCGCTATCCACCGAATAGTGATTTTTTCAACCGTTCTAAAAATGCTCGAAAGGGGATAAAATTTCAGCTTGAAAGCAACAATTATTAAAGAGGATCTTCAATTTAGGAATACTAAGATTTAATCAAAGTTGTAGCAAATAACGGGCGATTTTGAAGCAATTGAAAAAACCACTATCCGGTGGATAGCGCTATCCGGCTTTCATACAACCGGCCCCAGCATGATTAAGATGGTGTAAAGTTTAATTTGAAGATTTGGGTAATCCGGGATTAGATCAGCCTATATTTAAACAACCGATCTCGTAGTACATTGAATGAAAGATAATGCGGTTTTTAATTAGGTTTTAAAATTAAATGGTTCATCTCAATGTATCAGAGATGTTTTAGAAAGCTTATACAAGCTTCGCGTTCATAGGCCAAACAAACGGCAGGAATCTGTTTCTGTTTTTTCAAAACTGCAATCAATTTTGATCTTCTTGAAGTGAGTTTGAAAATGCAAAGTGAAAACGTTGCGTGAATAATCAAGCAAAAAAGACCAACTCAGTCGTTTTCCGTTGCCCAAAAACGCGAAGCTTAATTTTCTGCGCAATTGATGTAATTAATCAGTAAAAGAACGTAAAATTATATAACAATTTCGTTCCCATTTCTGTGTGACTGGTTTATTTCCACGATGGTGCAATTCTAGTGTATAATAATGCACTTTTATGAATCAAGTTGAGAAAAAAGTCAAGCATTGCTCCTTGTCCTTGTGGAAGCATTGCTCCTTGTTCTTCAAGATTGCATAATGTTCATTGATACCTGTTGGCTGTGGTTTGATATCTGCCTGGTGTCAACGGATGCCGGGGTTTTATTTTAACTAATTTTGGGAATAGGAAATATTCCAAATTTATAAACAACAAATATTCATCACAGTGTGACCGTACTTATTGAAAACCGTAACGTAAGGCATTCTAAGACGATATTTAAGAAAAAGAAAACATTTTCCATGTTTCTATACCGTTATCACGTTGGTCATATTCGGCAAATTTTCTCCCGGTAAAGAGGGCTCAGTTTTTCAGCGGTCTTCGCATAAAAAATTAAAAGCTTTTCGTTTTACGCCTTGCTCTCAATTTTATGTAAGTTGTCCGCTGACAATATGAGCCTGCACGAGTGGGAGAAACTTAGCTAAGTTGGACCAGCGTGTATAGAAACATGCGTCGGACTTTATGAGAACGAGAAATATTCAGTGGTACCAAACATAGGCAGCCCAGACTTTGACTTGCGCGTGTGATACTCGCGCGCGTGTCGCGCTTATGTTGTTTACTTCGTCTATATATTATGACATATATTCGTCTATACGTCTATATATTTCCTACCTTGTCATAATATATAGACGAAGTAAACAACGTAAGCGCGACACACGCGCGAGTATCACACGCGCAAGTCAAAGTCTGGGCTGCCTATGGTTTAATATGTGGATTTATCAACAAATGTATGACACCTCTTTGAATTTATTCGTTGATTTCGTTAAAATGGTTTTGATTTGGAAAGTATTTATTTTTAATGGTTAATCTGTTTAAAAAGCAATTGAAATTTCGCTAAAACTGTATTATTTTTAAAGCAATTCGTGGCACAATTATGATTTCTAGTAAATTACGTAATACTGGAATAGCTATACTTTGTGTTACTATAGCTACGTTATTTATGTCTAAGGAATTATTCGGAAATCTGGGGATGTTTTAAGAAATTTTTGAGGAATCATCAGTTTTGTGGTGAGAGCCTGCAAGCAAAGTAATGTAATGAGAATTTGTAATTGAATCGAATTATAATATTTGTACAAAACTTTTTAACGAGTTATTTTAAAAGAAATAGAAAACATTTTTCCTGTGTTTCGATACAGTCATAGAAACACTTGTGTAGAAACACGGAAAATGTTTTCTATTTCTTAAATGTTTAACGAAATTTTTGCTTGTACAGTTTGGATTTCACATTTTTTTTGGATTTTCTTTCAACATTACGAAGCCACTGATGTATACAGATCATCTTCTGTGGGTTGAGCACACTGAGCTATATAATAATTCCTGGAGGACCGGCTCCTAATGTTTTTTTCTCAAAAAGTGAAGCAAAAAACATGGCGGACTTCGCCCTTCTGCGCAACCGCAGAAGCTCTGCTGACGCCACTTGGTTCCTTTTGGCCATGGTAGTTACCACTGACCAGGCTCAATTATGAGCCCGCTACAGCAGTATTCTCCCCCCTGGTTTTTGTAAATAACAATTCTCCCCCCTGGTTTTTATATTTTTTTTGCAGTGAATCTTTTTTGTTTTGAAATGTTTTTTGGTTGTTTTTTTGATATTTTTCGCACTGACATACAATAAAGTTTTATTTTAAGATGAATACAAGTCATACACGCTGTTTTTGCCAGTGCGGGAACAAATATATATTAAAATATCGAAAAATGTGGACAAACTAAAGATTTTAATACTGACACGAACTGACAGGTTTATTATTTTATTTTCGTAATAATATTTTTGTTATTTATACATTTCAATATGAAAGTTTACAAATGTTTGAATGTTTTGGCACTATCCTCGCATATTTTGAAGACAACTAGGAATTTATGGGCAACAATTTGACTTTTCTAAACCCTGAACTGATGAATTGCGCAGGAAGTATGTAATCAGTATTCAGTATGTGATGCTGTCTTCAAGACTTTATATCTATGCACAATCCAAAGAAACAGAGGCCATAGCTCAGGCAAAATGCTGGGCAGCTGACGAATACTAAGTGCAGGAATACAGTTTCAACTAAGAATCATATTTGCATAATATACTTTTCATTCAAGTCATCAACTTGTACCTTAATAAACCTGTTTTCAGCATTCTCAAATTGCATCCCTGGACCCCTGGTCATAGTAAAGAATAACATTTATTCCTCCATAGGCTGCACTGATTAGCCTAATGAATATAACCCTTTGGAGGTTGATACCATAAACAGAAAATTACAAAAGTTGCTGCAGATTGAAGACACTGCTCAGTCAATGCATGTTTATATTTATTTCATTAATTAATATCACAAATGGTATAAAAACACCAGCCAACAACAAAATCAGATAACATGGAAATGAAGAATAACAATGCACAGTCATAAAATGCATGAACTTCATCCTGAAAAATAAAAATGGAGATATGATCAAGATTTATTCCCAAGGTGCAAGAAGCTAAAAAATAAATTAAAAGCTGTGATAATTGATCATTTCACTTTGGATTTGACAAGGTAAACAAGATAATATATTAACTAGGCTTTAACAGGGCTCACTATCAGAGGTTGGAATTTTACACTGTTTACAGCATCTTATTATTTTGTATTAGCACCCTCAGATCATGTTAATTGATGTTGGGTGGGATCAATAGAAGAGTGACTATAGTAGACTCACTGGGGGAATGGTTAACCTATTAGCATTGATGTTTGCTATCATGAAAACAACATAGACCAAACTCAAAAGATTGACACTGCCAGGAATATAATTTTTTCCCCACACAAGTTAAGAAAAAATGATAAAATTTGAGTATATAACATTGCATTGACTGTTTGTCAGTACCACACGTTTTGATGGATTTATTGTCTCAGAGGCTTTGGTTATTGGTAATCAGTTTATACTATAGTCCAACTCGAAAGGCCAAAAACGAAATTGTTTATAGTAAAAAAAGTTGAAAAACGGCTTACCTCAGTTTAGTCAGTTACCTCAGTTACCTGGATGTTATAAAATAAGAGCAAAATGAGAAAATTCACTCTACCGATAAGTGAATTAAGCCATTCACAACGTCAGACGCAGAGCACGAAGCTACGTGTCCTTTCCATTTGTTGAACAGGGAAAAAGAGAAATACTTTTATCCATTTTATATGAAAAACAAAAAATATATACGGAAAGCTGAAAATATTTTCATAAAATCCAGGAGGGAGACGGACTCAATTTCTCACTTTGTATCGCGGTATGTCAGTGGTAACTACCATGAGCAAAAGGAACCAAGTGGCGTCAGCAAACGCCGAAATCCGCCATGTTTTTTGCTTCACTTTCTGGTCAAGAACCGGTCCTCCAGGAATTATTATATAGCTCAGTGGTTGAGCATTGGCTGCATTGCCCATTCAGTCATTCACCAACGTTGTGCTGTGCCTGGTTCGTGCGTTCAATGGTCCAATTCGATATCGTATTACAATTACAGTTAATTGAAATACGCCGTGCCAGATGGAAGAAAATATTAACGAAAATGACGCTCAGGTATGAAACTATTAAAAATTAAACTAATTACTGAAATTATACACCGTTTTGAAAGTTTGAATTGCAGCTCGTATGTATTACAGTAAATGTGTGTGATTAACCTCTTAATTGCTACAAGGTTCACTATTTACAATTTTACAGACTAACAGACATATAAATCCCCTTCCTAATTCAGAAACGAGAGCTATCTGATGAGTTGAAAGTCGCCCGTGAAAAAACCGTCTGACGGTCGACACCGGCTTCAGAAAAACCGCTCGAATTCGAACACATACATTTCAGAAAAACCGCCCGAGAAAAAAGAATATTTCAATAGCACCATTATTAAGAACATTATCTACCCCGCTCTACTACAACATAATCTACGAGTCTCTAATAATTTTTTTTCACAGGCGGTTTTTTTAAACTGTGTGTGTTAGAATACGACAAGTACTACTACCATACATATATGTGCTGTACATATTATGCAATAGATCCCAGGGGATTTTATTAGATATTAGATAACTTTGGGCTTTTGCTAGCTAGTCATGAATGTTTTTAGTACGTTCCATGTTTGCCAATATTAAACACAAAATAATGTTTGTAATGCTGCAATGTTACAAGTATTAAAATAATTCAGGTGGTTTAATTATTTCTTGGTGGTTTTTCTATCCCCTTTGGCAGTCACGGGTGGTGTTGGATGGTTTTTAGTAGGACTGTAAGCAAGTTTCTCCAGAGTACCGCATTGTTTTGCAGCAAGCTTTTGTTGTTTATGTGCATGCCATGGCAAAATAGCATTGAAAATGAAAAATTAGTAAGTTAAATTATTTCTTTAGAAATATAACTTTAGGGAGGAGAGCATGTAAAGCACATTCATCCATGACATTTGTTGTAAAGCCTGACAACAGAATTGTGCCTTTTCTGCCTTTTCAAATTCTCAAGAAGTTTAATAGCTCAGCTGCATGCATTGATTGTCAGTGCAAATTTTTGCAGATTTTTGTGCTTTAATTCAGTTGTGTCTGTCTTGAACCAACATTGGCAGGGCAGCTAGTCAGGAATCAGTCAACATCAAAAGATATACAAGATAAACATTGAGTCTATAATAGACTCATGAGTCTATTATAACATTGAGTCTATAATAGACTCAGGGCCGGGAAAAGTTGGAGTTTACTACTTCATTGAGTTTTCCACAAGTGTTAACAGCTTTATATTCTGTGACCAACATTTTTGATAAAAATAATATATAACTGCAGATGTGTCATTATGGCATTTCAACTCGGGTATTTTCTTCTGTTCAGTTCAAGAGTCCTTTGGAAGCTGGGTGCCACCAGCCTCAAGATAACTGCATGCTGCTCACTACTAGCCCAAGTGCGCCAAAATTTCAGGACATGGTACCATGTATCGCCAAATCGCTGGATGATTTTTATTACAAATTTATTCTGAATGACTTCATGATCGACCCCATGTGGAGTTGTGGTTCAGGAAATCCTGTCTATGAGAAAGGTAAGCTTGATCAATAAGGTAATAACAGTAATATATGCATGCACAAATTGACATGAACAACTGCATTTTGCTAAAATGTTCTTACATAGTGGAACAACAAGAATGGAATGACTCATTAATTAATATTGAAAGCTCCAGGACATGGTGATTTCCTGCTGTACTAATCTCAAATGCATTTCTTCTTAATACAATGCATATTTAAAAAAAGGAAAGTGGTGAAATGTATATTCAAATTTTCAAACTTATCCAACAACTGAGCATTGCTGTTTTGGTGCATTTTAGCAAACTGTGCTCTTTCTAATAGGTGTTTAGAAAAAAAAGTTTTTAAGGTTTTTCTATTAAGCACACATGAATTCTCGCTTGTTCTGTCCACATTCACATTTCACAGTCTGTCTCTCTCCGCCTACTCTAATTTAAATGTTCTTCACTCATCATATAGGCACCCTGAACAATCCACCCATTCCTGAAGTGGAAGAACTCATGCAGAGTTCTGCTTCTAGTAGCACTATGGAGAAAGAACATGGTGATTTAATTTTTAATGAATGAAATAATATTCAAATTTATTTATTTATTGATAACTTCATGTACATGAAAAGTCACAACACATGCATAGGCAGGTAACAACATGGGGCTATAATACCCTACCTAAGGCCACCCACTGCTACTTTTTAAAAACGAAGAATGACACAGACAGACAAACGAATGGACTGGCGGACGGATTTTTGGGATCAATATATTTGAAATAGTAAAACAATCAAAATTCTGATAAAAGGAATTGAGAATCCCTTGAGCAAACTGTACCCTTGATAATATCTGCAATGACAAATAAGACAGAACGGTCACAGCTAGTCTCTCTCTCTCTGCCCACTTTAAACTAAATTATCTTTACTCATCATAGACATCCTCCACAACACTTTACCGATGGAACAGCTCTTTCCAGATATCATCTCCCAAATGTGTTCTACTTCAAGGAGTGCTGATGTCAGTGGTGTGTTTGGGCACATTGCAAGTCAGGAAACAGTCTGTTCAAATGTTGCTATTATCGTATGTAACAGGAATCGTAACAATTATTAACATTATTATGCAATAAATAAATATGTATTTAAATAAATATATATAAATATATATATATATATATATATATATATATATATATATATATATCAACTATTGTATCAATTAATTATTTTTTATAAGGATGATAAGGATGGTGGATTGGACGTGGAGTCATCACCGGCCACTGAAAATACTGAAGACACAGCAATTGTAAGTTTACCTAAACATATATCTACTGCTCACTACTTCAATCAACACAGGTACTATAACATTAACATCCTCTACAACGCTTCACCAATGGAGCAGCTCTTTCCAGATATCATCCCCCAAATGTGTTCTACTTCAAGGAGTGCTGATGTCAGTGGTGTGTTTGGGCACATTGCAAGTCAGGAAACAGTCTGTTCAAATGTTGCTATTATCGTATGTAACAGGAATCGTAACAATCTATATGTATGTATGTATGTCTATGTCTATGTCTATATGTATATACATAGTTGATATTATTGTATCAACTATTCTTGATAAGGATGGTAAATTGGATGTGGAGTCATCACCGTCATCATATATATATATATATATATATATATATTAATATATATATATATATATACATATATATATATATATCAAGTATTGTATCAATTATTTTTGATAAGGATGGTGGATTGGACATGGAGTCATCACCAGCCACTGAAAATACTGAAGACACAGCAATTGTAAGTTTACCTAAACATATATCGATCTACTGTTGTTGAGTCAATATACTAACGATCTCCCATGTAATTAATGTAATTAATACATTGATTTATATAACAATTATGGTAGTTTATATATATATATATATATACACCCATTTTAATCATATTTTATATATATATATATATACACCCATTTTAATCATATGCAATTCCAATTAGACTTCGAGTATCTATCTATCTATCTATCTGCGGCCAACGTTTTTGCAAATGGGTATATATATATATATATATATATATATATATATATATATATATATATATATATCAAGTATTGTATCAATTATTTTTGATAAGGATGGTGGAATATTGGACATGGAGTCATCACCAGCCACTGAAAATACTGAAGACACAGCAATTGTAAGTTTACCTAAACATATATCTACTGTTGTTGAGTCAATATACTAACGATCTCCCATGTAATTAATATATATATATATATATCAAGTATTGTATCAATTATTTTTGATAAGGATGGTGGATTGGACATGGAGTCATCACCAGCCACTGAAAATACTGAAGACACAGCAATTGTAAGTTTACCTAAACATATATCTACTGTTGTTGAGTCAATATACTAACGATCTCCCATGTAATTAATGTAATTAATACATTGATTTATATAACAATTATGGTAGTTTATATATATATATATATACACTAATTTTAATCATATGCAATTCCAATTAGACTTCGAGTATCTATCTATCTATCTATCTGCGGCCAACGTTTTTGCAAATGGGTATATATATATATATATATATACAAAACTATTGTATCAATTATTTTTGATAAGGATGGTGGATTGGACATGGAGTCATCACCAGCCACTGAAAATACTGAAGACACAGCAATTGTAAGTTTACCTAAACATATATCTACTGCTCACTACTTCAATCAACACAGGTACTATAACATTAAATTATATCTTGTCTTCGATCTGATGATGCCTTTTTTATTCTGCATGTATATTTAGTGGTACAGGGGCGAAAATTTGATGAAGCTAAAGGTTTGTGAAGATGAGCCATACAAATACGCGTTGAAATTGCTGAGTAAATTTTTCACCCCAGAAGAACTCCAGGATGGGATTTTATTCAAATCCCGAAGGTCAATTAAGCAACCCCTGGATCCTGCAAAAGTGGAAATAGTTTTCGGTATGTAATTATGTTATATATGCTAAAATGCAATAATGCGATGTATATTGTATCTTTTCAATGGGTAACATTTTTTTATTCCTATAATCGTATAGCCGTTCTTAACCGGAAGTATGGAAGGAAACGGGTGGAAGAATCGCACACTTTAATTGTAAAAGTGTGCAATCAGAAATGCCGCAACATAAGACGGGTGATGAAAAGACTAGCCAAAGTTTAAAAATACTCTCATATATTTTGTGAATGACTGAATATATACATCTTATGTATTAAATATGTACTTCCATTGAAAATTAAACTTTTTAGATCGAAATATTTCTGCTCAGTTGTTCAATATATAAATTTGTTTTTCATTTTAAAAGTATCCGCCGCCCAAGGGGTTCAAATATTTCTATAGCGGTAATATTCATGCAGCTGAGGTGTGTCAAAAAACGTAATGGCGACACATTTGCCACATATTCATCAAAATATCATAGCAAGAAATGTGTCTTTATGCAATGTCTTTATGCCATAATGGCAAGAAATAACCAAAAATAAAATGGTCTCTTGAATATATAAAGAGTATATCCCGCTTCGCAAAGATGGGCTATTGGCAGCCAATAGTCCGGGCGATATTGAAGATTATAAGCTGCAATTTAGGAGGGAGGATCAAATATTTAGTGTACCACATATTCATCCTTCCACTTGTTAAAAAATGACGCGTAAATTAGATAAGGTTTTGGGTAATCGGTCTCATAATTGAACATGTTATTATTGGTTTAGAACTTTGTAGTCACGCTAATATAGTATATTGCGGTCCTACTAATAACCGACAACAACCGACAACAACCGTCAACAACCGACAACAACCGACAACAAGCTAAAAATTACTGACAGAAAGCTTATAATCATCGATAGCGATCTAACAGACGCTAATATTGTGTTTCTTCGACTTTATTTTTACAATAACAGTAATAATATTACGAATTTCGGGCCCGTCTTGTTGGCTTTTTTATGCTTCCGCACGCCATGACTGAAGCGAGTGCTTCCACACTGAAAATTTATAATTGCCTTTAGATGCGATATTAGGAATATTTTCGTTATTTTCTAAGTTCATTTCGGTGCCAAAAAGTAATAGTATGTATTTACAATACTACATAACTTCTTAGGTGATATTTTTTATTTTTGAGTAGTGAACTTGCTATTCCTCGAGTCGCGAGAAAAAACACGACCCACGACAAAGTTAAAAACCATGACAATCGGTTTATCTCAAAAATAAAACATAACCTATGAAGTTATGTAGTATTGTAAATACATATTATAACTTTTTGGCACCGAAATGAACTTAGAAAATAACGAAAATATTCCTAATATCGCATCTAAAGGCAATTATAAATTTTCAGTGTGGAAGCACTCGCTTCAGTCATGGCGTGCGGAAGCATAAAAAAGCCAACAAGACGGGCCCGAAATTCGTAATATTATTACTGTTATTGTAAAAATAAAGTCGAAGAAACACAATATTAGCGTCTGTTAGATCGTTATCGATGATTATAAGCTTTCTGTCAGTAATTTTTAGCTTGTTGTCGGTTGTTGTCGGTTGTTGACGGTTGTTGTCGGTTGTTGTCGGTTGTTGTCGGTTATTAGTAGGACCCTAGTATATTGTGTTGTTACGCAAAATATAGCTGCGTGGCACCGTCCCTATCGGTGGTATCATCATGGAATACGTTAAAAACAAATTGATTTTCGCCCCAATTGTAAATTAGGATCTGCTCTGATGCCTCTCAGAAGAAAAGATTTTTACAACCTTTCAATACCAACAAAATTGGACCCACGCTATAAATAGCAATCATGTAAAAGGCTGAAAGCGGTTTATTAATATTTATGTAGAAATTTGTACAAAAAATATTTGTTCCATTACCAAATAGTGTCCAGTGGTTACTGCCATGGTGTTCATGGTGTGACGTGTTAATGCCAGTGAGCCCTATATGGTACTGACTTTATTAACAGGCTATTTCCGGCCACCGATAACCGATTGCAACCTTTATTGCGTTGGGCTGCAATAAAATTCCTCAACAAGCAAAAACACTTCCGCTCTGAGATGATATAAAGAAGCCTGACTATTATTTCCTTGTCACTTCGTGAAATTGTTTTCAATGAATAGCAGTATTTGTCACAGTTTAGAAGTGTATTGCTTTTCTTCATTGAGACTGGCTTTGCAAAGCAAAAGTGTATTGCTTGTTTAATAATTCAACACAGAGTTAAATAATCCAACACTGATTTCCAGCGAGATAAATCTGTTTCGTCGACGTTTGGTATACCATTTGAACTATATTTGAAAGACGGATTTGCTAAGGTATTTACTTTGGTACTTTACAGCGTATTAATTAAATTAAAGAGACGTGCATGAGATGGGTGGTACATTATAATATGGCACAAAAAGTCATGTATATATGACAGGTATACTCAAACTTCGCTACTTAAACATATCCGCTTAGCCTTATGAGTATAACGATTTATAATATTGTTAAGGTCTGTTCACATGAACCCATTTTGTTGGATTTTGACTTATGAAATATTCCGATATTGATGAAGCAGTATTGCATTAGTTTTTTATTTGATTTGTGCCCATACTATAGAGTACAAGTCTAGTTCCCCTCTGGGGTATGGGTCAGAGTGTTGTGAACATGTCAAACTGGTTGATTTGAATGTGTGATAAAATTTTATGTAATCATCTATTTGTGTGCAATCAACAAAGACTGATTTGAATACAGGAAATAAAGAATAAAAGTGCAACCAGATTATTTCAGCTTAGTGACTCATGCTCATGCATATACATTGCAAGTCAACAGTGAACAGACTATAAACAACTATTTCAGTGAACACTATACAGAATCATCAAAATTTTCCACATACTGAGGGTAGCTTTAAAATTTTGTCATTTTAGATGAAGATTGCGTTGTGCATATTGTTTTCCGCTGCTTGGAGCATATTTTTATTGGATTGCGTGGATGGCACTGCAGGCGTAAGTATTGACTTTGAATATAACCTTAGTCTGGTGCACCACTGCACCCCCCCCCCAGCCAAATCCAGAGACATTGCAGAAGGGAATCAACTTTGGGTATCACCAAAATTCCCTGCATACTCACCAATGGTGCTCACCCAGCTCAGCCACTGATCTATGTATGTATATCCACTAATCTATACTGCTCACCTCATTTTTATCATTTTTCGAACAGACATATACATTCTAACTTTTAACATGTCTAACTTATTACACTTTATTTCTTTTGAAGAATCAGGCATCTACTGCAATGATGTCTTATGGATGTGAGCCTTGCCATAGCTGCTCAGCCTGCTCCGAAGAGGTAACTGAAGAAAATCGCATAATTTTTTATTCTAACGTGATTAATTTGACTGAAAGAGCATCACCTGATAAAGATGTAATACTATTTGTCTAATACTGGATGACAGCATGACAGTGAATGATTGGTTCATTAATATGAAAATAATGCATTGTGTCCACCTTAAATGTGAGCAAAAAATGGAACAAAGACTGTTGTCAAGCTTTCAGATCATGTTTCAAACAGACACAATGAAATGTGTAACTTTATTGGCCTAATCCAGCCATTTTTCTTCATTCTTCAGACATGAGACTACACACTCAAAAAAGCTTTCTTTGTTGGTTGAAATATAATTTAAAAGTTGAATGGTACCAGAGTCCGAGTTGTGAATCATTATACATTTCACATATCATTATAGAAAAGTTATTTCTCCACTGTTGTTTCAAATGCAATCCAAACCTACTGCTGTAATTTTTTGCAGCTAGTAGGCCTGTGTAATAGCGGAATACATTAGCCTATTTAACAGCTAGCCCTTTCAACCCATATGTTGCAGAACATTAATTCAGTATGGATCAGTGAATGGAAAATGGCTTTATTGCCTAAGAACAGTGTGTATTCCAAGAAAGGCTGTAGCTACTCGGAGAAACTTTTATCGAAGAAGAAAACTTATTCCAAACTGAACTGTGGCTATTCTGACGCGTTTTTATCAAAAGATGACAATGCGAACTCTGAGCGAGATTGTAGTTTTTCGGTACAAGTTAAAGAAGCCACGCGACTACAACTTGCTCTCGCCTGTAAAACAAGAAGCGAAGTCATTTTCAAGGCAAAAAGGCGATGTCGGAGGACGATTCCTCCACAAATACGGAGGGAAATACCCTCCAAAATGATAATGATTTATTTAATTTCAGAGGTAAAAAGAAAATGAACTTATATTAATATTATTTGGTCTTAGCTTTAAGCGAAATAACTTTGATCGATAATTCGAAAACCTTTTTCTAATAAACGAACGTTTTTTTCTGTGTAGATATTTTTCCAGATGATTTTCCGGATGACTCGGCGATTTTCACTCCGGATTTTTTTTGTCAAAGCCTCGTTCCATTGCACAACGTTTTAGAGGTCCCTCTTCTGCACTCTGAGAACCTCAATTTCGAAGATGAGACCTTCTCAAATACATACAACGTTGTTGCAGAACTTTTAGAAGAAATTCCAGAGGATATTCTACTGTCCACGGAGAACTTGCTCGGTACTATGGAAGAAACTGATCAAATCTTCCATGAAAATCTGACAACAATGTCAGCAGAGTCAAATATGAACTCTAGATCTTTCCACACTGAACCTACAACTGACAATATAGCCTCAGAACCCAGCACAGGAACTCTCGAACGTATCAATAGATTTGGTTTCGCGATGGGCACCACTAATTCAGACGCGTTTGCAATATCGTGCAACATCAATCAGTTCGATACAGCAGCTGACCATCTTACCATGGAGTCCAGTCTTCAAAACAATGCAATCTCTCCGCCCAGCCTAGCATACGAATACACCCATGGTGTTGTTCCAGAAATATCTCATCCTCTCGTGATTCTGAATCCTAATAGCAGAAAAAGACCCTTCGAGGAGGACATCGACCCTGGTCAAGCTGTTATCCCTGCGTTTAAGAAAAGATTGGAGGAACCTTGTTGTTCTAGTGATGTAGCTTCATTTGTAAATGAAAAAACCATTCCTGCGGGTGCAGCTTCATCTGAAGGCAAAGAAAGACGTTCTGTAGCAACAACCCAGCGCAGGACTTGTGTGCGCGAACCGGCGGAAGAAGCTGCTCTAAATGAACAGAAAAACGAAGCTGCGATTGAATATTTGAAAGCCTGGGTGAGAACGTTGTTTGAAGAAAACGAGTCCCTAATTAAGGATAGAGAAACACATATGGGTGACATCAGCGAGAAGAAAAAGAGCAGGGAGAAAAAGAAGAGTTTGCCGGAACTTCAGGAAGAGAAGGTTGAGCTTAAAAAAGAAAACACAGAATTGAGAAACAAGGTCAAAACGATGTCAAGTGAGGCTGAGTCTTTGATGAAGCGTTTACACATCAGTTCAGAGGTCAGTGTTATTGCAACAAAAATTAATTGACAAAAATTTTTGAAATTTCTTTGTAAAATACCCATTTGTTTCTGTATAGCATAACAACATATAAAATAAGCATAGAATAGAATAAAAAAATAATAAACTAAAATAAGACATCGTCAGTTTGATTAAATCAACACTAGCAAGACTATATATAAAGCTAGGAGCTGATTTGAGAGATTTCCAGAGTGATATAAGGGTCTGGTCATAAAGTGACTGATAGTATACGTTGGGAGGGAACGTGAATTTAGCCAAATCGTTTTCATTTACGCACGGCAGGTACGTCTTTTAGTTCGTTTCTCCGTCTTTCTTAACCCCCCCCCCCCAGAGCGAGGTCATCACCCTCTCTGAGTAAGGTCTGCCGTCATTGGCCCCTGAATATATTTCTATTCATCTGAATATGGAACACGTATTGCATGGTGAATTTTCAATAAGATCTGTACTAGTTTGTAGATAAATACTACAATCTGAAACCGCTTTTTCCAATATCAAACTCCCTATTTTCTGTTCATCAAATTCAGTGTTTCCTGAGTTTCTTCTTGACCTGTACGAATCCTGCGAAAGTAATTAAGTTAATCAGCGCAAATGTAGCGCGGCCAAATATAGAGGGCATTACCATATATCACGTTGAATGTAATCACTTAAGTTTGCGCAGTTATTATTAATAGTACAAATATATTATACAAGTTATTCAGTAAAAACCTGCGTTGAAATTGACATTAAATGGCGAAAGTTGACCGCACGAATCTGCAGGTCGGTGCTTCATGAGTTAAATCTGAAACAGCAGTGTTTGGATTTGTTTTTCTGCATGGTCTTTCGTGTTAAAACGTGAGAAATTAAAATTTCTGTCGACCCTGGAATGATTTCTCGATTAGCATGATTAAGATGGTGTAAAGTTTGATGTAAAGATTTAAAGATTTAATCCAGGATTAAGTCAGCCTACTTTTAAGCAACCGATCTCGTAGTATATTGAGTGAAAGCTAATGCAGTTTTTAATTAATATAAATAGGTATTTCATCTCAATGTATCAGAGATGTTTTAGAATGCTTCAAGCTTTGCGTTTATGGGTTAAACGGCAGAATTGTCAGTTTTTTTAACTGTAATGTATCGTGATCTGATCTCCTTAGGATAAGTGAAAAACATTGCGTGAATAATCAAGCAAAAAAGACCAACTCTGTCGTTTTCCATTGCCCAAAAACGCGAAGTTTAATTTTCTGCGCAATCGATGTAATTAATCAGTAATACAAAAGAACGAAAATTATATAACAATTCGTTCCCATTTCTGTGTGACTGGTTTATTTCCACGATGGTGCAATTCTAGTGTATAATGCACTTTTATGAATCAAGTTCAGAAAAAAAGTCAAGCATTGCTCCTTGTCCTTGTGGAAGCATTGCTCCTTGTTCTTGTGGAAGCATTGCTCCTTGTTCTTCAAGATTGCATAATGTTCATTGATACCTGTTGGCTGTGGTCTGTGGTTTGATATCTGCCTGGCGTCAGTGGATGCCGGGGTTTTATTTTAACTAATTTTAGGAATAGGAAATATTCCAAATTTATAAACAGCAAATACCCATCGCAGAGTGACCGTACTTATCGAAAACCGTAACCTAAGGCAACACTTCGCTTGAAATAGTAACTTCTAGCACATATACTAATTTATGGAATAATAAATTTATGACGTCATACCAAGGCACCGACGCTGACCTTGTGTTGGAACAAATATTTTTGTACAAATTTCTGCATGAATAAACCGCTTTTACATTTTACATTATTGCGATTAGCCTGGTTGTAATTTTGTTGGTATTGAAAGGTTGTAAAAATCCTTACTTCTAAGTGGCGAATTACTCTGGGTTATATTTAACAAATAGTGTCCATGGTGTGACGTGTTTATGCCAGTGAACTCTAATAAAGTATAAAACTGGAACGATAACTTGGCCGCCATCTTTGAAGCCAGCACTGATGGCCGCCATGAAGGCCAAGAGTTGAAATTACACCACCAAAACAACGCCGGTTTTTATACACAAATCCTTCTCATCTGATCATGAATAAAAGCTTAAAACAAGCATTGACACTTAGATTTTACTAAAAAACAAGTTTTATGAACGTGAAAAGGTGCAAACCTATTTTTTTTGCGAGTTGAAGGCGAACTTTTTTTTCGGCCCGTTCAAATTCTTTAAATATTTCAAGTACAAAGCTGGTACCTCGCCGGTTTTTACAGTAAGATGATGCGGATTACTTAGGTCTATCCAAAAAGGGTAAATTCGTTGTTTAAAGTTGAAGTTGTCAAATAAAAATTGCACTTTTCTCGCAATTTTTTGCCAAAAAATACGATTTTTACGGAATTTTCACTCTCCCCAGTTCTTTTGAAGGCTTGATTTGCTCGCTCGGCTGCCGCCTTAATCAGCAAATTATATTCAAATCGGCTTCATCCAATGACTAGTCTTTATTCTTGAGTTATCGTTCCAGTCTTATTAGAGTTCACTGGTTTATGCACGTTCCCGTTACCATTAGTCACTAACATTGCATCCTGCTGTGTGATTGGCTGCCTGAACACACCCTGAAATCTGATTAGCTGTTGATGACGTCTTCTCTATTTCAGTCGAAGTATTGCACCACAACCGGCAACAGTTCGCTACAAAAGACGAAGTTGTTTCATTTCTGACACTTCGTTTTCACAGATTTTGTACAAGGAAGGGTTTCGCGTTGGAGACCTTCAAGTTCTTAGCGTTCACCGCTTTCACAAGAGGTTTAGGCACCCGCGAGAGGCGCCTAAATTCGCCAAAACTTTACAGCAAAAAGAACCACCGTTTAAAACGGCAGTTGAACCCGTACTAGCCTTTATAAAAGAGCAAAAAAAATGTACGCACCGGTTGCAGATTTTAAACGCAGAATGGCCTTCTCAAACCAGAGTCGATTGTCCACTGGACATTCGAGAAGACAGTCTATACGAAAGTCTTCAGAACGAGGAACGTTTAATCGAAAAGCCTCAAATCGAAATTCCGCAAGAGTTTATTGCAGACGAGATCGACTACAATTTGCCCTCGACTACGAAACAAGAATCGAAGCTAAAAGTTCACAAGAAAACGAAATTCGAGGGCCTAGCCTTCACAAAGATGGACAATATCTTCTTCGGGGATCTGGATGGTCCATTTGATTTTGAAGGTGAGAGGAAAAATCGGCATTTTGTTAAAATATTGACAATTCATTCATTGCTTATGTTTGATTGTTATGTCACTATGGGAATGTTCTGATTGTAAAATGAATACATTTTAGAATAAATGCAACAGAAAATTGCAATTACTGCCTTAAATTTGTAACAAATCTGTTAGATTTTTGAGACAGTATTCTAAAACATTCAATTGTTTACATCACCACACAAGTTCTATAAATATCACGTTTGCTCTGGTATTAAAAATGAAAAAAATGAGAGGTAAACTTATTTGAGATGTACCATTCATTTGTTGCATAGATATATTCCCGGATGACCCATGGATTAAAAATACAGATGTCCCTGTACAAAATCTTGAAATACCGGAGCACAGTGCGGTTACTGCACGAGAAGTCTTAGAAGAAACAATTCTATCACCTGATGTAAACGTGCAGAGCACAGTAGTAGAAGAAACTGATCATTTCTTCTCTGAACAATTTATAAACCTGGCTACAATGGAGTCTAATGTGAACTCTCTCGCCACTGATCCTATGGCTGGTTTTGAGGCCACGGATAACATGATCATGCGAAATTTTGAAGAGTTGCTAGCTAATGTGAAACAGGATGTTCCTGAGTTCACATACGAAGCTTCTTCTCAGCTTCAAAATCTCCACGTTCATGTTTCTCCAGAGCCTGAAAATGACCTCACTGCAGCGGTGGTCCCAGATGTGATGATTGCTGAGAATGTACCTTCCCTTCCCGAAAGTCCTACCGACACCACCAATTCTGGTGTGTTCGCAAATGATTTCTCCCTTGACTTGAATCAACTTGATCCAGCAATTGTGAAACTGTTAGAAAACCTTGAAAGATCTGAAGATACAACTGTCAAACCTGACAGCAAAAAGAGGCCTCTCGTGGAAGTCGAGGAGCCTGCTGACACCGCTCCTGCAAGCAAGAAGACAAAGTCGCAGTCATGTAGCTCTGAAGAGGGTGTTCCTGACAAAATTGCTGTAAGGAGAATGAAGAACAATGAAGCCTCTCGTGTCTGCAGAGCTTCCAGGAAGGCGAGACACAATGACTTGTTTGATCAGGAGAAAAAGCTTACAATTGAAAACAAAGAGCTGGCTGCGAAGGTGAAGGAATTATCAGCAACTGTAGAATACCTCAGAAATCATTTGGTTGTCAAATTAAGTGGACGGTGCAATTAATTTAGCCAGTAGAAATATGATCAAAATTACAATTAGAATTCTGTATAATATTTATCATTGACTATGCATGATTCTGTGTGTTATATATAGTGTCAGAAGAAGTCAATGGCAAATATTATGTGGATCAATAGTCGACAAACCACTGTAACATATATATAATCACAAACGAACAAAAAAAACGACAAAAAAACAACAAAACGGAAAGACAAAAAAAGGACAAGACAAAACAAAACACAAAAATATTTGCACAATTAGTCTAGAATCATGCCAAAGGCATTTTAGTTGTTTAGAACTTGTGTAAAATCATTCTTATGTTCTTATTACTACCAATTTCTGTAACAAAATTTTCAAAATATACTCTCATAACTTTATCCTTTTTTTTATCATTTTGTGGGGATATTTTGACTAACAATGAACTAGCTCAGGTGTACAAAGTACAGCAAAAAAACTGAGCTTTTGGCCCTGTGCTATGCCAATGAATTGGACGGAACTTGGGAGGGTAAATGGGGGTTTAAGTTCCTCCTCAATAAACAACAATAACAGGTTCATTAATGATGCATAGAAAAACCAATATCCTAGTGTTTGTTTACTCCAGTACACCTAAACTGCATAGATAATGTTCGAGATAATGAATGCTTGATTTGCAATGTGTCTAAAAAGTCACAATCTCTGAACAAAATTTATTTAACAACATAACTTTATAAAATATTTTGTATAAAAAAGGCTGATTTCTTGCCCATCAGATATAAAACACCCCTCCACAAATATCTATACACTTTGCGTTCTATACAATCTGAAATAACTGAACAAAACTATGAATCTATGATCAACATAACATGTATTACTTAGGATGCTCATTGTTCAAATGTACATATAACAAACATGGCAGCCTTAAATATTAAGAGAAAATGCTACATGCAAATAAAATATAATAACAAAGGGACTGGGGTTATTTAAAATGGGAACTGTTGTAGCTTTCTCAATGATCCAATTTCTTGGATGCAGATTTGATCATTCTCCTCATGTTCCACTTGTCGTGTTTCAACATCCAATGGCCATTGTAGACAAAGAGGATGGTCATCTTGTCCGAATAATGTAGGTCTGGTAACAACTACAGAAAATAAAAACAATTTATTCAACATACAATATTCTTCATAGAGTACACCATATGTACCTTTTGTATTGAATTATACCATGATATACCTCAACATACCATATGATACCATGCTGTACTATATTCATAATACAGTACAGCTAGCATTACCATAACATATCCAGAGCCATAAAAACTATAACTCACTTACTCACCTTTGGTGACATGAGGAAGTGCTGTGGTGTATTTGGTCTTGTGGATGTCTCAACCATCAACTCAAAAACCTTTCGTTCATTGGTTGGATCCATACCCTGATAAAGAAAATCTGGTTAAAACCTCACCTTGGTTCTTGGTTGCGAAGAGTCAACTCGAATAACTGAAGCTTGATCATAATCTTCCCCAGTAAACAGTACCTGGTTAATCTCATCCACTACTCGGAATGGACACTTTGTCAGCTCTTGTAAAGACATCAGGTACAAAATAGTTGAAACGCTTTTTTCGCCTCCACTTTGATGAAATTGAGTTAAAACATGAAGGCTGTCTTTTGCTCGAAATTTCACTTTGATTTCCACTCCGTATTTCTCATAATTCTCTTCGCCCTACGTATTAAAAGATAGTTGACTAGTTGAGCAGAAAGCTCAGTTCTCTTTCGAAAAAATGCCGAAACTTTACAGCCACATGCTTGTGTGTGTATGCGCGTTATGAGAAGTGGTATAAATGTAGGTTGTACACCAGTTTATGACCCGTTATTCCATAACTTTGAGTTTCAAACACTTCAATACCTGGTCAGTTCCAGTGGCTAGTGAAACCTCGCCAGCGCATTGCAATTTTCGGAAAAATCCAACAAACTTCTCATTAATTCTCGCCAGGAGTTCGTTTAGCGGCGTCAACCACCTACACAAACATCGTGAAACAACCAGGTTCGGTGAATAAAATAAAAAAACATTACGACGATCTTTGATGTAGAAAATCGGAACATAAAATTTAAAAGGTCTGTTTCAGTTTTGAAATCATCGTGAATTATACAAAACATATTTCCTTTTACCATCCTTATTTCATCTTCCAACAGAAAGAAAATCGCTTCAATTTTCATCGCGATAAAAGCGCGTACAATGCTCTTACCTTTCTTTCAACGACTCCAGTTGGTTGTCCTTGTTTTTGATTTCGTCTGAGCTGTTTGCAATCTAAAAACATATTCATCTTCTGGTCAAAACCAAATCTGGCTGTTCTCGGGTAGAAGTCGTCATAACGAGAGGTATTTTACAAAGGATTGAATACTTACTATTTCAGTCAGTTCCTCAATTTCTTTTTTTCTTCGCTCATAATCTCTTATGACCTGAGGGTTCGTCTGGTAGTTGCAATCAGCTTTGGCTTTCTCACTATGAATCATGTCTTCTATTTCTTGAACGGTGTTCGGGTAGGTTTTAAAAAGCTGCAAATTGAAGATGCACTTTTTAAAGGTTTAATGATAAAGTTATTTTTCTTACTTAGCCCAGGCCTGGATTGCAAGCGAGAACAGAAAAAAAACGTGCGCACGCAAACTTCAATGTGTTCAAGGAATGTTCTTTGAGATTCTCAAATAGACCGCGTTTATTCTATAGAATAAAGCAAAGTAACAATTGTGCTTTTAAGAACATTCCAAAATGTAACAAAAAGGTTCCAAAATGGAACAAAGATAATTGTTGCAAAAAAGTAACAAAAGTGTAGCAAGCGTGGGAAATAATCAATTAGAATTTTTGCCATGCGAAAAGAACGTTTCACGTGAGAAAAGAACGTTTTGTGCGAGAAAAGAACGTTTTGTGTGAAGGAAACACTGTGAATAATCAAATATTGCTTTTGACAACAGGATTATCTTGATGGTTTAAAAAAGGAGTATATATTAGTTGCGGTGTTCTGACAGACCTCTTTATAGTCATCAGATAAATCTGATCCTTCAGGCGTGTCTGTTGCTCTCTGTGCGACTCTCAACTGCTGTTTCGCTCTTTTACGAACCGTTTCATATTCCTCTTTGACAATCTCGAACTCGTTCTAAACATGATGGAAATGAGAGAGAGGATTGTTAAGGACAAATGTAGACACCATGCAGAGGTCAATCTAATCAACCCTCAACTGAATGGCATACCTCTAAACCCACGAGTTGTTCGTTAGCCTGGCGAATTTCTGCATCAACATTTGCCTGTTCCATCATAGCCTTCGACGTTCTCATGCCGATTAGAACCCTCTCTTTCGAGACATCGAGACATTTCTAAAGAAATGAGACACAGTTTGGCATTGAATTGTATTCTTTCTGTGCGATTTCTCGCATTGGATTGCTGTGCCTGTAGCAGAGATGGAACTCTACATAGCGGTTTATATTGAGACGGAAAATGTCAAACGCAAAAGCACCTTGGCTTGGGTTAACACTTTCCCGGCTGTATCAACTCTTTCTTTGTTCAGTTTCTGAATTTCTGAATTGATTCGCTCCTTTTCCGTCGCGATGTCAGGCATTTCCGTCTTCTTCAACTCGATACTAAAAAGAAAAGAAATATTTTGCAAACTGCTTCCTTCAAGAAACAGCAGACATATACAAATGCTAGGAATGATATACAGAACATGCTGTTGTATGATTCACGTATTTTCATGATGAAACAAACCTTCTTTCCTTGCTTTCAATTTGGTTTAAAACTGTTTTGTGTCGAGTCTGTTTCTGTTGAAGGTCTTTCTGAAAAAGCAAGTTGAATGCAGCACATGCAGTAAAATGATGGTCTTGTGTCTTGTCAAAATAATTTTTTAAAAATCTACGGCAGCAAAGTTTACGAGAATGCTGAAGACTGCGGTTAGGTTAAGAAAAACTCGTCGACAAATACCTTTTCATTTCGAAGTTTCTCTAATCTCGCTCGTTCATTTTTGTCAGCAGTCAAGAGAAGTTTCATGTTTTCCTCAATTTCGCTGATAGTTCTCTCGATTTCCTAGATTCAGGGATAACGTGGTATAAGAGGTGACATGTTTGGATAATGTGGATTAGAATGTCGGTACATTTCTCAAAGCTGTGCTGTACACAAAATGAATTTCATACTTGTTTTTCGAGTTCAAGTCGTCTCTTCTGTTCTAAATCGACAGAAATGCTGAAAATCATCGCATCTCTGAAAGAAACAGAATTGTCATATACCCGAGTCTTGTTTGGTTCATAAGATGACGAGAATTGGAAAAGCAGTTTAGTTTAATACCGCTACCATTGTGTGTCTTCAAACTGTACCTTAGAAATGTTCCATGAGTGATAAATCACATGCAAAGTGCTAGTGAAAAAAAGACTTACTTTACAGTTGATGTGGCTGTTGACTTTTCACGATTGCCATAACGTGAGGTTTTCACAACGTACTGAACAAGAAAAGATTAAATTTGTTTCATTTCAGTTGAATCTTAGCAAGACACATTTAGAGAGGATTTTGGTTACCCACTGCATGTACAGCTGGAGTCGGTGCTTCTGACCATCACCGTTCAGTAAAAATATCTGGTGTCAGATTTTAAGTACTTGAAAATAGTACCTTCAACGTCGGTGTGTAAAAATGCCATAAACCAGAGTTCCCTATGACCTAGAACCAAACAAAATCAATAAGTAATTGGTGGCATAGACATTGCATATCTTTTGCATCGTTTTTCGTCCACATCACTGTTTTTGATGACTAAATCAACGTATTACCTCATCAGCGTGTTTATCCGTGTACTCAGTTCCCAGAGGAATCTCGTGAATTCTACAATTCTCGCATAAATATCTCATAACAGCATCTGGCGCTGTAAACAACTCGTTCAGATAATGAAGAAATCCCCATCGTCTAGAGAAGGTAAAATTTAACATGATGGAAGAAGTAAATACCAATCTCGTGAAGAATATATACAAGTGTTATTACTTCTGGATCACATACTTGATTTGGTCGATGGTTTTCCTGGGTTTAAAGCTGGCGAGTGGTGTATCTGGAGGAGCAACGGCATTTACTCTCAATGATTGCTTGTCTCGAACCTAAGAGAAATATAAACTGGTTTGTTTTTCGACCGATTCTAGTGGATAGCTCTATCAGTTCTAGAACTATTCTTCCTAGAGGTCCAGTAAGGATCATCACTTATCGAAATAAACCTATAGCACATTTCTTTACACGAAATTAAGGTACAATTACATCGAAAATTCAGCAAGCGTACCTCTGATAGAAACAGCTGTAAATCTTTTCTTGTTTCACAGACAAACGCTCTCATATCGTTACCAGAGACAACCATCTCGAGAAATTTCGCATCTTCCAAGCGATTCATGTTCACCTACACACAATGGATTGAAATCTTGTTTTGTATCTTACAGTTATACGTCTCTGAAGGACGCCAAACACAGTAGTGGAACTGTAACCTTTCGGGGGAATGCTAGCTTGACTTACCAAAAGCATTATAGGTTCATGGACGGGGTTGTCAAACTTGTGTTGGTTTTCCCGCAACCACAAGACGGCATTGTACGTGTCCTTATAGTGCGTTCTGAGGAACTCCAAACGCTGGTTTTTCTTGTCTTCAAGACGATCTAACCGGTCTTTGACGCCTGGAAATTATACAAATTGATGAACGCGATGAACTTATATAAGTCTATCACCACTCCAGCTCTGTAATCGGTTGATAAACCCTATCATTGATATGCCGGAGTGATTGATCTTTGAAGTGAAAACAACAGTCTATACCAATTCATTGTTTGTTTTTCACGGGAAACCCTCGTAGATGAAAGCCACTTACTTTTCAATTGAATTCCAGCGCTGCCTTTTTCATCTTTGAGATTTGCTGCGTCCGTTTGAATCTTGTTGATTTGCTGTTGAAGTGTACGACCTTCATTGTTGATTTCCGCCAAACGAGGCTATGGTGAAAAACGATGTAAATAAAGAAAAGGCAGGAAAAGTAGGATTCGCTGGCTTCCTGAAGTGATTCTTGTAGCTTCAAACAATATTTCATCGCAAAGCACTGTAACTTGAATCACCTGAAACGTTTCGGGTCCAGGAAGAGTTTCCAATTCGTTTTTCAAACCCTGAACAAAATTTTCCAGAGCTGTGATTCTAGCAAAAAAAGACACGAAAATAATTGGTTTTGCTGAAGTGAATATTGACCTTATACCAAATTTTTGTCAATTTTAAGTTCTAATTTAAACGTCGACCGCCGGCAATTGGTTACTTTTTTTGTATGTTTTTCTGTTCTTGAACCATTCCTTTTAGTTCGTTTTCCATGTCTTTGACTTTGTCAACCGATTCTTCGAGTTTCTCTTTCTTGTTTTTCAAATTCTGGTGGGCCTGTCTACCTTTTTCACCCTGGAAATATAATCGAAGTACGCCAGTGATCATGCTTTCCGACCACAAAGTTTTGCTCGTTTGCAATTTTCAATCAAAAATACAACGTTTAAACTTACCAGTTTACGATTCTCTTCGTTTTGTTCTTGAACTTTCTTCGTGGCTTCGTTTTTCTTCTTCTCCAAAGGAGCGTTTTGTTTTTTGGTTTGATCAATAACTTGCTTGATTTCATCACGTTTTTGTTTCTTTTCGATAAATTGTTTCCTCAATTCTTCATATTCCTAAACCAGAAAAGGAATTATTGAATTTCATTTCTTGAATTTCATCTCTACAAATCCAGGGTTAATCTGTATTTTCTTGTTGAAAACTCGCAGAACTTAATGTATGAAGAGTGAGCTTTTTACAGCCAGAAGATCATGTTTTTTCCTGGGTAGTCCAGCATCTTCTCACACTAGTCAAAGCTGATATGGTTAGTTGACCTGACTACATCCATGTTAACCTAAACCTCTTATATGAAAACTGTGTTCTCTCAAAAACAACACTCACAGCCCATGGTTTCTTCTTTTCCAAGACTCGAATCTTCTCCAAATGTTTTTCTCTTTCTTGATAGCGTTTAACTTCATGCTCCAGTCGGCTGTTTTGCTGTTGGAGTTTTTCTAAATATTCCTTCTTCTCTGTCAACGATGCCTTAAAGTTCAGTAAAGTCCAATTATTTGGAAATACGTAATACAGTAAACTTTGGGGAAAAGCATTAGAGAAATTGTATATACACAACTATGAATATTTGTTTAAAATTTTGTTTTTGTTTCATTTGTTTAAAATTTCACACCTCCATATCCTTTCCTTTCTTTCCAAGAACAACAAGATCTTGGTGATTTTGCCACATGTCAGGTGGGCCAACCTGAAATGACAAAGCATATTTCTAAAGTTCACCCACAGATTGAGGAAGTGTGTTTACAAGTTACGAAGCAAATCTGCAATATATGTTTGGCAGGCAAAAATAATGTGATGGTTGTAACTCTTCTTTTTTTCTTTGGATGTGATTCAAGTGATCTGGTGATCTGATGCTGGGTTACTTACAGCTTTTTCTGTGGCAACTAACAATTCCTGGGGTGACATCTTTGCAAACTCAACAACCTTTTCCTAGAGATATATTAGCAAATATGAAGATGGCCCACAAGACAGTAAATGCTTTCATTTTATAATTTTATCAAATATATACAATTAAATCAATGTCTTGTACACCAGACATAACTAACATGATAACAAATTGCTTTCTCTAAAATAAATAAGCAGAACCATAAAAAATAATAGCGGTGTAATACAGCAACTAACCTGGGGTAGGAATTGACACAAATTGTTGATCTGAATGTTCAACTCACTCACCAAATCCTGAATCTGATACGGAGAACGGAAATTATAGAATCTTGGCACATTTTGATAAAATAATACATATTGTGACTGTGTATTCAATGAATGATAGTACATAAGGGCACTCTGATTTTTCTAATCTAAACATACTGCTTTCTGAGGAACAGCTTTTCTGTTGAGTTGCCAAGTGGATTTGTTTTCCCTGGTAATTTGCCGTTCAATGATATAGTTTCCTTTGCCCTGTTGTGAATTGTACCTGGAGTGAGGATGAAGATGGTATTAGGTGTAGAGTGACTCTAGATACTCGGTATCAATGCAAGAAAACTGAAATGAAAGACTTTAGAAAGCTCTGATCTAGTTTGATTCAATGATTATGACTTACAATTCAAGCTCAACTGATCCATTTGTTTCACCATGTTTAACAAATTCACCAACCTGTAATATTTGTTTTTCATTGCAAAATATTTAAAACCTTAAGCAGTTGATCTCATATGAAGTAACTAATGGTTAGTCAGACAAAGACATTCACTCACATTGTCAGCTCGTCCAAGGAGCTTTGGGGAGCCAGCGAGGCCAAGACATATCGCACAAACAAGAGAGGATTTGCCACTACCTAATGAAAGACAACTGTAATATCAGTGACCTCCCACAGACCATTTTTGTATGAGTAAACGTATGTGTGGTAGGTCAGTTGTACAGTCGGATGGCAATGTACCTAGGTAGGAGCCTCACTGCTCTGTCTAATGGCAGTTTTAATTATAATACTAGCGAAACTTCAATTGGGTTAAAACTATTTTTATCAACTTACAAAACGAACAGAGCAACCGTAGAGTTGAATTACAGTAAAAAGTAATTTTGAAAGAAATTTTTTTTGAAGGAATAGAAATGGCATTGGTGGGGCTTGAACCCAAGGTTTTAGGGTCTACAGACACATGCCTTAACAACTGTGCTAGTGACAAATTACTAAATTCTACTACATAGAATATGAACTTGATATATCTAAGTATAAAAATTCTGGTATAAAATTATCTGCTTTTGTTCAGTCATTTTGTTCTTTTGCTATGCATAATTTCCTATCAGCTTCACTATAATTATTTAATACATTAATTATCATATATCAGTGCGATAATCTCACCATTCGGTCCTAATATTACATTCAGACTTGCTCCTGGGAAATACTCGCATTCATCATACGTGCTATAAAACGACAACTGCATCAAAGTATTTGCTTTTTAACACTTCCTCGGTGACACAAAAGTCAACCTGGTCTAACGGCGCAATATTCACGGCAACTTACAGAAATCTGACGAGTTTCATACGCACAATCGAGCCATGATAGTGCGTGTTTTCTGAAATAAGATTGTGAAGAAGGTGGGAATTTTTGACCTTTATCGCGCCGTTTTGCGAGCTTTTCTTTCTGCGTTTATTCACCACTTCAGCCATCTTGTCTTTATCATTCATTTATTCACCATCTGCGCGCTTTCCCGCGTTAATAAAGAACCGGAAGACACAAAAAGGAAGTGAAAAACAAAAGATGGAAAAAGCTCAGATGTCTTTCAAACTCCCCCGTATTATCCCCTAATTATGTCTTATCTTTATACTATTTGAGAACACTTTTCGTTTCATCAGGGGGTTTAATGGTAGTTAACGAAAATTTAATCTTTTCACCCTCCGTATAATTTGCTTTTGGTCAAAAATCGCATCAAAATTATCTAGAAAAATGAGAAGTGAATGAAGTTGTGCGGGGGGTGAAAAACCAATTCACAACTTTTTTACTTCCGTTTAAGCGTTCTTCCAGCACTGTTTCAGCATTCTTTGCATTTTTTTGTCGTATTTTATTTCCGGCAAGTCTGTTTTTTTAATGCCTGTTTTAAAGAAAAGAGTATTTAGAAGGTTTTTCGAAAGCAGGACATACTCATGTTGGAGTAAACTAAGATGTATTTTTTGTAGAATTTCATCAATTTTAAAGCCACTTTTTAAAGGTTTTTTATACTTCCGGCTTACTTTACACTTCCGCTTTCATTGACTGTGAGGAAAATAATAGCAACACGATTAACTTTTAGTGGTTTTTAACTTGGATTAGTATTTCAAAATATAGGAGCTTCTATTTAATGAAATAGTGTTTGGTTTCCAGATTTATAAAGGGCTGGCAAACCTAGAAAATAAAAGCTTGCAAGTAGAGGAAGTCTAGGTATCATTGGAAGTTTGTTTGCTAGAAGTGGAAAATTTGTTTACTTCTGTTTGTCTGTTTACTTTCGTTTTCTCGGAATTTCACACAGCGCCACTAATTGAATATCGAACGATGGGTGTTACGAGAATGGCAAATCGAATTCGTTGTTTATGTTTATTCGATTGCTTTGCCTTTGAAGGAAACTGTGCAGGAAGAACAGACTAAATTTGAATATAAAGGAACAATGGGTAAGGCAAAGTGCGTTTTTAAACACGACGAAATTAAATTTTTAAATTAAAGATACAGATCATATATCCAGTTGAAGTTTTTTTGTTTATTTTAAGTACGGGTATTTACAAACGTGTTATTTAAACGGTTTGCCTGGTATAATGTGAATAAGTTGGGTTTATCTGTTTGCTCGGAAGCTTTTATTGAGCATTGATTCGGTGATTTGAAACAGTCAATTCGTCTTAAGTCTTCACATTGCATGTCAGCGCATGTTTCAATGAGACGCTTACACATCGATCTATTGTTTGTCAAAAAATATACACTAGGCAGAAGTTTTGTTCTTTTAACTTAATGATCAGTACATTATATAACCAATTAAAGTTATTAAAATGATCTATTCCTATGGTATGTTATCGCCTATAATACAATCTTTCTGGGGTTCCTTTGGCGTACAAAAATCTTCATATCATGACCTTTGTTGTATGTGATTTAAATAATATATAAATGGCTTGCCACCTGGCAACCGTGGTTGCCCATATCATCAAAAATGTTGAGCTAATTGCCTCTTGAATTTAACTTATAGAAATGAATGCAGACTTCCTGAAAGCATGTGAAACTGGTAACCTAAATGAAGTTTTAAATATCCTTTACTATCATGACAATGGACCGATCAAAATCTTACAGACGGATCCTAGAACCTTGGACCACATGCACTACTTTCATGCAGTCTGTTTGAACGGCCACTGTGATGTTGTCGAACAATTGTTTTATTTCAATGTTGATGTCAATCTGGACTCGAGATACGGCACTCCATTGGCGGTCGCTTGTCAGGGCGGGCATATAGATACTGTCAAAGCCTTGGTCAAGCATGGAGCGAAAATTTATGACCCAAATTCTAGGCCAACGCTCACACCATTTTTCCAAGCCTGCAAACATGGACACTTGGAGATTTTGACGTATTTGATCCAGGAAAGGCCTGATGTTTTGTTAATACTTGGGCCACAGCTTTTGGTTGAAGCATGTCGTGAAGGTTTCTTGGAAATTGTTATTTTGCTTGTTTCAAAAGAAATTGATATTAATGGCGTGGTTCATCCTAGCTCACCGCACAGGGAAGAGATTTCGTTTGAATCGGTCTTAGAGACCCCACTACAAGCAGCGTGCTCGCAAAACCAAGTTGAAATTGTGGAATATTTGTTGCAAGAAAAAGCCGAGGTGAATGTCAGCATGGTGCAGAAATATTACCAAGTACTAAAAGAAGCAGTTAAAAGGTATGATTTTGTGACCATAAATTACTAATTGGTTAATTAGTCAAAATTTGGTGTAAGTTAGGTATGTTAATAATTACTACATAGTTTGATTATTTTTTCATGAATATAGCTAATTAATGTATGAAAATTTAATTACTTTGGGAAGCATTTCCAAACAACTTCTCAACCTCAAATGTGGTATTCGGTAACTGCTTATAGTAAACAAAAAAACTTTGCAACCTTTTAATATAAAGGCCTTCATCATTTGGTTTGCTTGTGACTTGTTAGTTATATAATTTGTTAATTCATGAATTATTGTTACAATTTAGTAATCAACTCTGAGAGCTAACTAATTAGTACTTTAATTGTTTACTTTGTTGGTTAATATTTGTTATTCAATTAATTAATCTTTAAGAAAATCTTTTTTTGCTTAAATTAGAAATTTTAAAGAACACAAGGGAAAATACAAAAGAAAACAAACACAAAAGATGTTTCTCCTGGAGGGGGATTTTTCAAGTTCAAATTTCTATGATATTCACAAAAGTTGGTTCTTGGATTATGCCGATAGTCTCGTAGTTCTTGATCTGTCCCAGAACAACTTGCAAAACGTTCCTAAAGAAGTTTTAAACCTGCCATCGATCAGAGAAATCAATTTGTCAGCAAATGATTTGATTGTCCTACCTGAGATTGAAGATGTCGAAGCAACCAGGTTAGATTTTATGACCATAGGCAGTTGTGAAAGACTCTCAATTTTTTCTAGTTAAATTGTAGTTATTATCTGAATACACAACTCTGATTGGTCAATTGTGTCACTATATATAGTTAGTTGACCAGCTGTCAAAACTCAATACCACACCTGGGCTGGTTGTTTCAATGCTGCAGTTACCTCAACCCAGCTGGGTTGATGTAAATTACCTTTCCATCAATAGCTTCTCAGTTGCTTGTTTATAAAGTTGAATATGTTTCCCAATAAAACTTTTCTGTATTCATAGAAGTCGTGAAATGAACTGTTGTGCAAACGTGCATGAAATAAAAATTGATTAAAATATAACCTTGAGTTGAGCGCTAACCTAGTTTTTAACAACTGTCCCCGTTGCACAAGAGTTGTTGAAATTTATTGACAAGTACGTTTTGAACCGGCACAGTTTCTACTTTGTAAAAACAGGTTTAATGAAACGGTTATGTCTCGTTCATTCTAGACTTAGTCGACAACTCTTGTTCTATCTGACCAGCCATTGAGGTTTTCGAAAAACTCTCACGCTAGTTCATGCAAACTCTCTTTGCGAGCATCAAATCCCGTTTGACGGCTGAGCCTTAACTCTTAAAAGACTGCATTGCTTATTTTCCAGGTTGGTTGATATCACGGCTGCTTCAAATAAACTCACCCATGTCCCCATGTCGTTTTTTAACATAAAAGGCTTACGATATCTGAATCTAGTCAACAATCGCATCGTATCTTTGCTGAATAACAATGTCAATGACGCCGAGCAGTTCAGTGATAGCAATGATGCAACGAGCTTCGATGAAGTCGAAGATATCACTTGGCAATGTCATTCATTAAAGTCTCTGAATCTATCCGGAAATCAGCTGAAATTCATCCCGTCTGCAATTCATGCTGCGAACAGTTTAGAAAAGCTATTGTTGCGTGGAAATCAAATTAGTTCGTTCCCAACAGGATGGAAATGTCCATTAGTAAGTGATTGAGATTGTTTACCTTTGAATATGACTGAGATCTTAGCTTGAAAATGTAAAAAACTTTTTGCGTCTTTATCAGGTCGGAATGTCCAGGTGGCCTTACTAGACCAGGCTCTAGGAAGAACAGTTTAGAACTGATAGAGCTATCCAGTAGAAATAAAGTTAGTTTAGTTTAGGTTTCCTCCTGTAGTAACACTGGATCAATAAGAGATAATCCTTACTGGACCTCTAGGAAGAACAGTTTAGAACTGATAAAGCTATCCAGTATAAATAAAGTTAGTTTAGTTTAGGTTTCCTCCTGTAATAACACTGGATCAATAAGAGATGATCCTTACTGGACCTCTAGGAAGAACAGTTTAGAACTGATAGAGCTATCCAGTATAAATAAAGTTAGTTTCGTTTAGGTTTCCTCCTGTAGTAACACTGGATCAATAAGAGATGATCCTTACTGGACCTCTAGGAAGAACAGTTTAGAACTGATAGAGCTATCCACTATAAATAAAGTTAGTTTAGTTTAGGTTCCCTCCTGTAGTAACACTGGATCAATAAGAGATGATCCTTACTGGACCTCTAGGAAGAACAGTTTAGAACTGATAGAGCTATCCAGTATAAATAGAACTAAATTCCATTCTATTATAGAATGGGATTTAGTTCAGCGAAAATCTTCAACCTTTGGCTTTGCACCAAACCGACCGCTGATGTATTCCATCTTCTTTTTAATCTAGAGAATCCTAGATTTATCTAAGAATGAATTGACAGACTTCAGGCAGTCTGTTTTCAATGCATGGACTGAAACGATGGTCGATTTGAACCTCAGTTCGAACAAATTCTCATCAATATCTTGGGATATATGCCAGTTAAAGTTGCTGCAATACCTGGACTTGAGTAAAAATTGCATTGAAAATATGCCGCCGAAGCATTACTGGACCTGCACGAACTTACGAAAACTAAATCTGAGTGAAAATAAGGTGAGAAGATGTTTTTTGTGTATGTCAGTACTGATGCAGCCTATATTTCGATCAGTTTCAAGGACCGAACAATGAATAAAGTTTCATGGAATGAAGATAAGGCTTTAAATATAGTAAAGTAAAAAGGGAATTTGGAAAAAACGAGACATATTAAGGATGCTTTTCACGATTCAAAGCAAGGCACATGGCAAAACTTTCAACCAGCGTCTTTTTAAAGTTTTTTCAACAATGCAATGCATTCTCAACATTTTATAGTTGTGTGGCGTTAGCACTCGAACGACGACAACGAGTCCGACCGGCAACCTCCGAAGGCTGACGTTCATGTCACGCCCTCCGACAGTGGACCGAGATGAAATCGAGGACGAATTTCCGTATGAAGTTTTCGGGTCAACCCTTGAGACCCTGGACCTGAGTGATAATAAGCTTGCCGTGGTTCCGAAATCTGTTTGCCAGTTGACCTCGCTCGAAGATTTGAATCTTTCCAGGTTCGTTTAAGTTTTCTTTATCCTTACATCAATCTCCCAAATAGTTGTATTTTCGAAACATATTATGTCCCAGGTGACAGATATACATACACTAAATATACACAATTGCGAACATTTTGACAGTTATGTTAAAACTGTTGGCTTATTTGTGCAATAAAGAAGAATTAACTATTGAAATGCCTGCTGTTTTTAAATACGGGCTTTGTCAGTTTAATCAGTTCTTGTGCTCATTGTTGTTATATGTTTCAGAAACCGACCTTTGAGAAGTTTGCCTCCGGACTTGGGCAACCTCACGGAATGCTATCAACTAGGAATAGAAGGTCTCAATCTGAGTGGAATTCCGAGATATGCTCGTTCAGGTGCGTTGAATAAAGTTACCAGATTTCCGTATATTCGACCATGGTCGAGTTTACCGTTTTCCTTCCATATTCGACCATGGTCGAGTTTACAATTTCCGGTATATTTGACCTCCACTAATTACATGGATAACCACGCTGGTTAGATGGTCTAATAGACTAATTCTGGTCCTATGTGAAGTTTACAGCATGTTTGGTGCTCATATAAAAACATTAAACCATATAACCATGCTTGGTTGTGATGTCAAATATTTTGACATGCATAACCACGCTGGTTAATTGGTCTAAAAGACTAATTCTGTTCCTATATGAAGTTTCCAGCATGTTTGGTGCTCATATACAAACATTAAACAATATAACCTTGCTTTGGTTATGATGTCAAATATTTTGACATGGATAACCACGCTGGTTAAATGGTCTAATAGACTAATTCTGGTCCTATGTGAAGTTTACATACGCCGTTTTCCTGCCATATTCGACCATGGTCGAGTTTACCGTTTTTCGGCCATATTCGACCATGGTCGAGTTTACCGTTTTTCGGCCATATTCGACCATGGTCGAGTTTACCGTTTTCCTGCCATATTCGACCATGGTCGAGTTTACCGTTTTTCGGCCATATTCGACCATGGTCGAGTTTACCGTTTTTCGGCCATATTCGACCATGGTCGAGTTTACCGTTTTTCGGTCATATACAATTTCCGGTATATTTGACCTCCCCTAATTACAGTAGCACAATCACAATTTTATATCACCAACGTCATACACTGACACGCAATCATTAAGTTCGAAGGTGCATAAGGATTTTGTTCGTTTTTTCAGGTCATACGTCGAAAGATGTGCTGACGTATCTCAGGGCCAAGCAACGAAAGTCTGTCCCGTATTACCGAATGAAATTGATGGTTATTGGTTTGCAGGGACGTGGAAAAACAACCCTTCTTGCTGCGTTGCGCAATCAACCTCGTCCTCCAAACATTTCAACAGTTGGTATTGTTGTTAACCAGTGGACTGTTTCTGGCTTTCAAACTCTCCGTGAGAGAATGGTACAGATTGGTAGAAGGGATCAGGTGGGCGTTTTTTAAAACTTAGCTCTTCAGTCAACTAAGAGAGAACACAGAAGATACTTAACTCTGCTCAAATGAGTTCTGTACAACATCAGATCACTTTAAGGTAGCCCTCATTCAAGAACATGTACCACCTCTGCATGATCTAACCATGCTTAACTCAGTCAACTGAGAGAGAACACAGGAGAGACTTAACTCTACTCACATGAGTTCTGTACAACATCAAAACGCTATACATTTGCCGCATCATGTACGTTTATTAACTAACAAAGATTAAAAAAACTCCTAGGTCAATCCATCCATTACATTCAGTACTTGGGATTTGGCAGGCCAAGAGATATACTACTCTACACACCAGTGTTTTCTGTCATCTAACACACTTTACTTGGCTGTGTGGAACATCTCAACCGGTGAAGAGGGGATCGATAAATTAAAACCCTGGCTTCTCAATGTTCAGGTAAAAATATCAGCGTTTGAAATGAACTGAAATGAATTGTATATACAAATTTTGGCTGTTATTAATTGTAAATTCCTCAAGGATATATAACTGAACTGTTTTGACTGCAGTAACCCTAGTTTAACTGAATTCAAACGAGTAAAAGACGTATTTATTATCTCAACATAACTTAGAGTGCTTTTTTAATCAATGAAAACAGCCAGACCGCTCCTGTTGTATTTCAGTACAGACAGATTACTGGTATTTTAGAGTGTTTCAAGGACTCTGTATTCAAGTATATCGTTATTTACATCTGCCTAGCACGGGAAATGCAGTTTTACCGTTATATTCTTAACGAAATACTCTATTTCAATTCAAAATATGACCGGTCGGACCATTTTGGCCGCTTAATGGAAAACACTCTTATAGAGCCATAAATTCTTAAACCAACAACCATTTACTTTTCTAGGCACGAGCGCCTGGTTCTCACGTGATCATTGTCGGAACACATCTGGATCTTCTGCCCGGGGCGGGAAAGTACAGGCGCGTCGACGAGCTTCGATTAAATATCGCCAAACGATACAATAAGAAAGGTTTTCCACTTATCAAGGGCTACTACATGGTCTCTTGCACGTCTGGTGAAAATCTGGACGAGTTAAGACAAGCCATTTATCAGGCAGCCTTGGAACTGAAGGAGACGGAAAGCACAGGAAAAGGAGACACTCTGATTGGTCGAAAGGTGAGGATAGTTGAGTACATGTAGTAGTAACTAGTTTCCAATCCAACCAGGTGATCTCGCGCTCATATTTTAGCCAATCAGCACTTAGAAGGGTTATCTAAATAGAAATCTTTTCTGCAGTATTTAATCGATTATATCTTTTGTTATTCTTTATGAAACGTATCGAAATTTTGTGATTATGTTTAGTCATAAGAACTATAGCTCTGATATAAATTTGAAACCAAAATGAGGAATATTTCAAGAGTATTTTAAGTTGTTTTAATCGAGAAATGGATTTATAATAACAACTATATAATGAACTGTATTGACAACTATAATCTCAGTTCTTTTCCCGCCATTTCAGATGACCCGGGAGAAAGGAAATAATGTATTTCCAAGGATTTTAACGTTAATAACTTGATTAGGCTCATCAAGTCTTCTACAGACCTCTTCTACAGAATTTTTTTATAATTTATATTTGTTTTTTTTTAAAGATTCCGATCAGTTATCTGAAACTTCAAGAGACTGTTATGAAAGAAGCTGAGAATCGTATGAAGGAAAACAAACCTCCCATTTTGAACGAATACGAAATGTTGGAGCTGGCAAAGAAGGATCCGAATAACGATATCTTGGAACGAGACGAATTAATCCTAGGTAAAGTTAAACATTGGAAACTTGTGGTGGATATATTGAAAAGATTATTGGGATTGAGAACTTTTTAAGACATTCCTATCAATTATTAAAATACGCAGCCTTCTCATGTCATGGTTCTTTCAACAGTTAGAGTGTCTTTCATGAAGCGTTTCCCTTCTTTTAGCTGCAAGATTTCTCCACGAGAATGGAGTTATTCTACACTACAACGACCGATCAAGAGGTCTCGACAAACTCTACTTCATCGAACCCGGTTGGCTCTGCAAAATTATGGCGTTCCTGGTCACCGTCAAGGAAACGAATGCGTTCGTTAAGGGCGGGATTATGGAAAAATCCAATGTGAATTTGTTGTTGAAAGATCCAAGACTTCCGCCTGAATTTATGGAACAGGTAGGATTTGGTCAGAAACTAGAATCATAAGATCATCTCTCATCCAGTGTTACTACAGGAGGAAACCTAAACTAAACTAACTTTATTTATACTGGATAGCTTTATCAGTTCTAAACTGTTCTTCCTAGAGGTCCAGTAAGGATCATCTCTTATTGATCCAGTGTTACTACAGGAGGAAACCTAAACTAAAATATTTTCATTTTCAGTATATTCAGTTGATGGAGAGATTTGAAGTCGCGTTAGCTTTGGACGATCATCGCCTGTTGGTTCCCTCAATGCTACCGCGTGATAAACCTGGACTTCAACTTGCTGACCTCAGCAAAATGATGAGTCGTGGAAAGAGCGGTCTGTCGGCCGCGTCAGAGGACAAGGAGAATGAGGAGGAATGCGAAGGTAAAAATTGGCCCAACTTCAACTTTTTCCCCTTTTGTGAGAGGGATATTATTTGGTAACAATTCCATGTTCAGTCAATCCTAAATACACGAATAGTTTAATCCTTGAGATTAAGTTAGGATTAGTTAATCTAACTCTTAGTCCATGATTCCATGAGTTAGGCGCTTGTTGGAGAGAGACGACCTGAGAGGGGCGTCTATTGGATAGCGGCGGTTATTAAAAGAGGGCGCCTATTTGAGAAAGGATATGCTAAATGGCTTTTAGCGTTTTTACGGCACTACTCTTAAAGTTCTTAAATTATTGACGTTGATGAGTAAATATGAAATCTATGTTTACACATCTATCGCACGAGATATGGAACTTAGGTTTGAGTCTAGCCATTATTGATCGTGTAGACACCTTTACCCCCATGCTAAGCGTCTTCTGTTAATCTATGGATTGTGTTTGAGAAACTATTGTTCACCAATTCTAAGCGAGTATTTTAAGACTCTCTTTGACTCCAACGTCTGTCTTCCTCTTGACGTTTGTGCAAACCTCTTCTGTCTAAACATTGCATGTCTCTTTATTCTGACTTTAAGCGTTGACTGAGCATGCTTTAAGGCGACTGTATAATTCGATGCTATGTTTCCACCGGCACGTCTGGAATTCACTCGAATAAACCTCGTCTGTCGAAAGTTTCCGTGTCGCCGTATTCGAATTCTAAGAAGCCCTGTTTCTCCAAGTTTATTTCCAATTGCAATATTCGTCGTTATCGTTTCGTTTTCAAGCTTTCCTTCAAACTTACATTGTTGTCTTACACTTCTTAGTTCGATGATTGTGATTGTTATCACAAGACACAATACTAGCATCAGAGATATTTCTATCGTTGACGAATATTCTCTCTTCAATCTTTTTATCCGATTCCACATTTTGAAATCGATGCACGTCGCTATTGCTTGAGTTTTTTGCGAGCAAAACAAAGAAATGTTGGTTTTTAAATTCATTCATCTGTGACACTAAACTGTTATTCAAAATAGTTATGCTTCTGTCACAACAGGGGGCTATACTTAGATGCCGGAAGAGGTCTGGAGTGGCCGGGGAAGTTTTACAAAAGATCACTTTCGTTTTACATAAGTAACCGCTCGAAGAGGCAACTTGTAGCTACAGCTTTGCAGTACTATATGTAGAAAACGTATTTTTAATCTTATAAACAGCAGGTATTTCAACTTAGATCGCGATTATTAAAAGCAAAATCTGGCGCGTATCGATGAAAATCAATATTAAGTGGTCACTTATGTAAAATTTTATTCATTTCGTATTCGACAGTCTGATTGATCGTGCCATTAATAAATTATCGTGAACACTAAGCTCACAGTTTGTTTGTTCTTCTCAAAGTCCGAACAATTCATCTCGATGACCTCAATCATTAAATCTTGAAATGCATTTAGAAAACACACGAAAGCGATTAGACATGATGTTTTTGTTCACAAAGGAACAAGGATTATAGTATTAAAAACATCACTTGTTAGGCGCCGCTAAATGCAAAGATTTCCGCTTTTATATTGGACTGTTTTGTAATTTTTCATTCCATAAAAGGCGTTAAGTGAGTTCTCAGGAAAGACAAAAACGTTTTGCCCAAGAGCTATCATCAACTCTCTGAATGTTATAATATATATATAAGAGAAAACATGCTCCGAAAATAAACATCTTGTAAACCCAAGATATGAGTTGTTAAAAACAAGACACAATATTCAAGGTGATATTTCGACTCTATTTCAAAGTCATTGTGAAATAGAGTCGAAATATCACCTTGAATATTGTGTCTTGTTTTTAACAACTTATATCTTGGGTTTACAAGATGTTTATTTTCGGAATATGTTTTCTCTTATATTTCGCAAAACTGTCTACTGGAAAAGGTTGTTGTTATAATATATTTTGAAAGGTTTTTCTACAATCGTTAACAAAGCAAATTGTCATCTATATTTCTGCCTGCGTGCTAAAATAAGTATTTAGCCCGGCAAACTCTTCATTCTGGTCCGCAAAATACATCGTTAATGCATGACAAAGTTAGCATAATTCCTTTTAGACCAAACTTCAGAAGATCAGTTCCAGTATCTGTGCCGCCTGTACAAGATGAATTATGTGCCCAGCGGATTCTGGAGTCGCCTCATTGCCCGACTCATGATTGCCGTGCAGAGGTGGGGGACCGACGAAGGGCTTGGAGACGAGCTGATTTGTAACGAGGGGGGTAAAGATGTTCGACCCACCTCGAGCTTTCGTCCAGTACCTCACGGTTATTCGATGATCTACTGGCGTGAAGGAATGGGCGTGGTTTATGATGGAGGGCATCTGTTGGTGGAGTCTTACTCTAAGACCGTAAGAACATACTAGACTAAACTAACTTAATTTATACTGGATAGCTCTATCAGTTCTAAACTGTTCTTCCTAGAGGTCCAGTAAGGATCATCTCTTATTGATCCAGTGTTACTACAGCAGGAAACCTGAACTAAACTAACTTTATGTATACTGGATAGCTCTATCAGTTCTAAACTGTTCTTCCTAGAGGTCCAGTAAGGATAATCTCTTATTGATCCAGTGTTACTACAGGAGGAAACCTGAACTAAACTAACTTCTACTGCATATAGCTCTGTTGGCCGGGTTATCTGAACAGGATTAATATATGTTTAAATGGCTGAAATTTTCTAATTAGGAGCGAAATCCTCACAGTCGGATGTTGGAGGATATTGAGGGAGTAAAAGTGACCGTCTGGTCAGAAGAAAAAGATTTTTCAGTTCTTGGTTTCGTCACAGACCAAGTGAATTCGCTCATCACCGAATGGTACCCAGGTATGTGGATTGTTTGTCTTGCTAAAAGAGACTGAGTTTAACATTATATAATGAAAGGTGTTGATCCGGCTAACTGAAACGATCACGTGCCTTCCACAGGTTTGGAAGAAAGCGACAAGCATGGCATACCACTCGTGCGTCACGTGATACCCTGTCCGATATGCACGTCGCACAACGAACCAACGTTCAGAATGAGGCGTTCCGTGTCCATGAAGAATGTTCAAGAAATGGAAGAGAGAAGACTCCCTGAGTTTTCTCTAATGGAGTGCGCAGCCGCTGCTGTCGATTACACGGAGATTGCATGCCCTGAGCACGTGGACAGGCCCGTGAAACTTAGCAGTCTGATACCTGATCTGGTTCTCTCCGATCTTCCACCTGAACTTCTCATAGATAGAAATGTAAGCTTAAGATTTCTCAGATACGCTGTTCCTTTTGGAGGTCCGAAGAGGATCGTCTCTTCTTGATCCAGTGTTCTTACATGCAGGAGGAAACCTAAACTAAACCTTTCTCGCCCAAATATCTAGGTATTTTTGTACAACCCAACTGACGAAAATCGTCTCGGAAGTGGAGGAGCTGGCGAGGTGTTTCTTGGAATTTACAAAAAGCAGAAAGTTGCTGTGAAAAGATTTTACTCTTCAAATAACACTAGGTGAGGAATCATTTCAAATAGTGGCTTGATCACGTGTTATATCACATCTTACATCACATGTTACATCACGTGTTACATCACATGTTACAATTTTCGAAAGTGTTGACATTTATCTTTTTGTTTGGCATATTTTCCCTTTGTTTTGTAGCACTGATAGTGGACTAGGCCCGAGTCTCGGTTGCTATGGCAAACGTAGTGGAAGCCGTCATACTGACGGGGGGTCGTTCACTGATCGCAGTCGCGTGTTTACTGTTAGTCCGACAACCATTGAGGAAGATTTGAGAAGGACAAAAGTATTGTCATCTTTCGTGGAGCTACGCCAGGAAGTACGTGATATAAAAGCATAAACCTAACGCAGTTAGTTTAGTTTAGGTTTCCTCCTGTAGTAACACTGGATCAATAAGAGATGATCCTTACTGGACCTCTAGGAAGAACAGTTTAGAACTGATAGAGCTATCCAGTATCAATAAAGTTAGTGTACTTTAGGTTTCCTCCTGTAGTAACACTGGATCAATAAGAGATGATCCTTACTGGACCTCTAGGAAGAACAGTTTAGAACTGATAGAGCTATCCGGTATCAATAAAGTTAGTGTACTTTAGGTTTCCTCCTGTAGTAACACTGGATCAATAAGAGATGATCCTTACTGGACCACTAGGAAGAACAGTTTAGAACTGATAGAGCTATCCAGTATCAATAAAGTTAGTTTAGTTTAGGTTTCCTCCTGTAGTAACACTAGATCAATAAGAGATGATCCTTACTGGATCTCTAGGAAGAACAGTTTAGAACTGATAGAACTATCCTGTATCAATAAAGTTATTAAAGTTAAAAGTTTAGTTTAGGTTTCTTCCTGTAGTAACACTAGATCAATAAGAGGTGATTCTAATAGTCGTATGTGTTATCCAGGTGTCAGTATTGGGTCGCCTCAATCATCCGTGTGTTGTGGCGTTGATTGGTGTATGCATACAACCGATGTGCATAGTGCTCGAGCTCTCCCCTCTCGGCAGCTTATTTTCCATACTCGAGAAAGAGATGAGTAAAATGAAAGCTGAAAGGTTTCAACGAGGCTGCCAAACAGCACACGATGTGAGAAAGCCGATATTTGATCGTTATCTCACCTACAAGATCGTTTATCAGGTAAGCTCAAACTATGTTTGGCAATTCTAGCGGATTAACCTGGGTCACTCAGCTGACCTGTTATGAACTTCCTGAGAACTAGACCAGAAAACAAAAAATACCCAGTATAAATAAAGTTAGTTTAGCTTAGGTTTCTTCCTGTAGTAACACTGAATCAATAAGAGATGATCCTTACTGGACCTCTAGGAAGAACAGTTTAGAACTGATAGAGCTATCCAGTATAAATAAAGTTAGTTTAGTTTAGGTTTCCTCCTGTAGTAACACTGGATCAATAAGAGATGATCCTTACCGCATATATTTTAGACGATAAGAGATGATCCTTACTCCAGTATAAATAGAGTTATTTGAGGTCCGTGTTTCTATCTCTTTCAAGGTTGCTCATGCGTTGCATTATCTTCATGAACTGGGTATCATTTACCGGGACCTAAAATCCGATAATCTTCTCGTATGGTCGCTGGAGAGAGAGGCTGTTGTCCACGTGAAACTCTCGGACTACGGCATCTCCCGATTTGCAACCCCACAAGGAATGCTGGGAGAGGAAGGGACTCCTGGTTTCCAGGCTCCAGAAGTACGCACAGGTTCAACTTACAACGAAAAGGTTTGTAACGTACTTTCCTGTCAATGTCGCTATGTCGGAATTACCAGTACATGCATTGAGTGACATTTCTGAATGTTATTCGAACATAATTCCACGCTGATTATGTCTAGCCAAAGCTTAAAATTTTGACGAAATATATGGATAATCATATTTGGAATTTTTACTTCGATTTTTTGTGACAGACATTTGAATTCATTTATTAAGCGATTGTGTATTAATTATACTTCATAAACCTCGCTCAAAAATCGAAATACATGATAGATTGAGGTCAGGCAAGACATACCATGTGTTTTCTCATATATTTCTTGCTCCATGTGCACGTATAATCATAATAATTACATTAACATACCCTATAGGGTCTTTGTGTAATGTGAATTAAATCTTGAATGATTGTATTGTATTCAAAAATATTGATTTGAAATTAAAAATATTGAATTGAATGTATTCAAAAACTGGCAGTTAAAACAAGGAAGTTCAACTCAGTGATGAGATATTTACAATTCATCTACCTTAGGTTGATATCTTCTCATTCGCGATGTTAATTTACGAGATTCTCTCAGGCCTACGACCGTTCCACGAGTGCCGTTGTTCGGCTCAGATTAAGAAAGCATTGCGTCGAGGAGAGAGACCATCACTCCAGCAAAACTATCTGGATTCTGAGATCCCAGAACTCGAAACACTCATGACAAAATGTTGGAAAGAGTCAGCCGTTGCAAGACCATCAGCTGAGGCTGTGCTGGACCTCATGGAAGATTCGTCGTTTCTTTGTCTTAATCGTATCATGCCTTACGCTGATCAACAGCCGTGGAATAGTATCACAGCTTTTATACCTTTATCAGAAGAAGATGAAGGTATGCATACTATTGCCCCAAAGGCTGGCTCGTTTGCTTTATTTCTACTATTCTTGGCACTTGTTTCCAAATGAACAAAGCTGTTTGTTTTGAAGAAAGGAAAAGAATTAAATGAAGATTTCAATAGTGTTTTTAGATTTTTCATTTTCCCTGCGAAACATTAACTGTATACTGTATATATTTCATCATTTTGTACTGTCTTGAGACTTCTGTGAACTTTTACAGTTAATACCGCACGATATAATCATCGATAAATCTTTTTGGATTTCCAAACAAACAAGCGTAGTGCAAACTATCGTTTATCAACGCTTGTTGTTATAGTCGTTAATATCGCATTTGTTTTTCTCAGTACTAAGTGAAGCTCAGAAGGCGATTGGCAGCCACTCTGTGTTACTCTGGGGCGGCGAGGTTGATGAACGATATTATTCTGTTGTTGATTGTAAAACTGGGATAGACCAAGTCCCTCAAACTCTGTGTGTAGGACCTCGTGTTGGGTGTTTGGCCAGAGTAGGGGATAGATTTTGGCTGGGAACTGAGGTAAGGCTTACTATACCTTAAAATCTCTATAATAATATCTCTAATAGCTGTTCTTCCTAGAGGTCCTGTAAGGATCATCTCTTATTGATCCAGTGTTACTACAGGAGGAAACCTAAACTAAACCAACTTTATTTATATTGGATAGCTCTATCAGTTCTAAACTTTTCATCCTAGAGGTCCAGTAAGGATCATCTCTTATTGATCCAGTGTTACTACAGGAGGAAATCTAAACTAAACTAAGCTAAACTATACTACTATTGTTTGTTAAGGGTTCTGTTATTGAGGTGTTCGGTCGTCCCAATCCTGCTTCTGATTTGAAGATTTTATGGTCCATTAAGTTAAATTCACAAGTTTTGGGGTTAGAAGTGGAGCATTTCGTCGACCGAAGATCTGTGAATGTAAGTGTAACTTTCAATCTTGTTCGTGAGTCAGCAAGTCTAGACCAATCAGCGAATATGCGCACATTTTTTAGTAACCCAATCAGAAAGTATAAATTTTTACTACTTCCAGTAAAAAGTACATTGTTTACCATTTTACATGAGGTAATAAAAATGTACGCATACCGATTGACTTAGCCTAAAGAATGTAAATAAGTTTGATGATTCAAAGCGAAATTCCTCTTTGTTTTCTTCATCCAGTCATCAATCGATCGTGTTCGCCGGATTTTTGCCTGTCTTGCCAACGGTAGTGTGGCTGTCATCTCCCGGCCGGACTTTCGCCCACCTTTCTCTTCGATCTGTTCGTTTCAGTTCAAAGCAGATTCGAACGAAAAACAACGCCGGGAAGCGACCGAATTTTCCATCATTACAAATATAGAGATCAGTGACCCGGCCACGTCAGCATGTTGCCTTCTCTTCGTGAAGGATGGCAGAGAATTGTGGGTAGGCTGTGGAAATATGGTGGCGATTGTCGACACAGACACCCTTAAGGTGGTGCACAAATTCCGGGCGTACGCTTCCCCCAGGTCGAATGTCCGGTCGATGGTAAGTGACGGTCCTACGGTATTCACCATCAATCGAAAGACCCCGGATGTCTTTCAGTGGAGCGTCGAAACGAGGCAACGCATTTGCAAATTTAACATCGGGCAGGAAGACCCGCGCGGAATGAAACTCGCAGAACTCGTGATGCCAACGAAAGACAATGACGTCAACGCGAGTGAGTTCACTGATGACGTCATGGGAGAAGACGGTGACGAAACCGTCGTGAAATCACCTGACGAATCTGATAGTCATGATAAGGCTGAGGGGGATGAAGAGGGGAGTGTGATGGATACTGAAGAGAAACCCCAGATGTACATCGATGTCAACAAACATCCCATGTCTCGTCCGACCAGGCAACCATCCTTGATGTATGCTTTGAAACGCGACAGTTCCAGAAACTCGTCGCGGCGTAAACATCGGGATTTGCCTAAAAATCCCGCCGAGGATTCCACGAGCCCGCACTCCGACAGCATACGAAACCGCATGCGTTCTCGTACTCAGGTAGATATTTTCATTCTCTGTTTGGTAATATTTTGACACGTGAACTTTCATAACAAGTTTCTCTCTATATCCATTTTATTTTTATTGTTTTAAAAATATCGCTGTTCTCCATGTCATTCAGTCATCATCCAGAGATCAGAATATTCCATTGTCTTTTCATTTGAAATTCTAACTATTCTCCATGTCATCCAGTTATGATCCAGAGATCAGAATATACCATTGTCTCATCATTGTTTTGAAAATCTCGCTGTTCTCCATGTCATCCAGTTGTGATCCAGAGATCAGAATATACCATTGTCTTATCATTGTTTTGAAAATCTCGTTGTTATTACAGGTGATGTGTAACACCAAGCATCGTATAACTTGTGCTTTAATTGTCGACGAGAACCTGTGGGTGGGTAGGGAGAGTGGAGACATCGTGGTGATTGATATTTCTGGTGAGATAGATGGTAAAGACTACGGTTTTGTTCATGGCGTTTTGACTTTAGAAGTTGAACGCGGCTTCGCAAATAAAGGTATCCACCATATGATTCGTGTCGGAGGAGATAAAGTCATGAGTTGTTCCCGATTCTTCCGCGAGCGTGATACGAAGGAAGGACGGACGCAAACGGTTCCGGCGGCGAACCGACAGCTGTCCCGCACTTTGTCGCCAGTGCGCCTCCTTCGCCCGCACCCCTTCACCAGGACCACGCCGGCGGTGGCCGAGAAGCCTGTTGAAGAGAGATGTGAGAACTATCAGGTTTGCGTCTGGGAACGATGGAGAAGCGACGATTTCCGAGAATTTTATGAATATCACGAGAGCTTAGAAAAGGCTTTGTGAGGAACGATAACAGGACGCCTTTCTTGGTGAATACAACTTGAAAATGGTCTGTTTTAAGAACGGTTTTATTTGAGCCAAAATTTCAACCCTTTCGCATAAGATTTGATTTCGCTGGAGCATATCGTAGGATGTTTCATTTAAAATCTCTAGAATGGTTTAATCCAGTTCAATGGCTTAACCAATCCTCTTTTTAACATTTCCTCATCTCGAAATCATCTTCAAACGACTTCTGCATGATTTTAGTACAAGCTACGAGGAAATTAAGGCCATTTGTGTATCATTTATTTCCCCAAAACCAAAATTATGAAATTTAGCCCAGAATTATCAGTGTTCGTAACAGTAACAGCTCTGACTAAATTGAATTTAACTCGACTTCAACTTATGATTTCGACATTGTGAACCCAACGTATGCAACTTTTTACAATGCACAAAACGAAAATCTGTTTTTAAAATTTTACCAATAAATTTTTTTGTATAGAATTTTGCAGATTAGATATTATATTAGATTTTCTTTAATGACAATTTAACGATATTCTCGATTGATGCAATAGATATGATCGATAGACAATGGATATGATCGATAGACAATAGATAACTTATTTCAGTACATAAAATGTTAAAATTGACGTTTCGCTAAGCGTTGTTAGACCATTTGAAAAATTAGACAATTTTCAAAGTTAGCTTTTAAAAAGAATGGTTCTATATATTCATGTTTGTGGGACAACTATTCTTTCCTAATTTTTTAATTGTGTATAGACTATAAATATAAGTTTGTTTGGAATAAATTAAATATATAGCTCATTTCCAAAACTGCGCGCAGTTTGAAGTGTTGTTTGGGGAAGCAAAGAATACGACAGGTTTTAAAACACATGCATGATATTAGAAATACCTACAGTGAATATTGTCAACACAGCATGCATAAATATAATGGCTTCAGATTTTGAAGTTTTACGGGGCAGTGGACCCGCAGTTGTTTCTCTATTTGGGATTGGTGCGGCCATCTGTCGCAAGGTGTTAGGCTTTGGCAAGAAATAAGAAATGGCAAAGACGGTATAATGACAATAGAAGTAAATCACAAACTTATAGCAACACACAAAGTTGTATATTTTCAGATATTTTTTTCCTAATCCTACTAGCTCGTGCTACCATTACAGAAATTCAAGACGCATGCAGTGTATCGTATATTTTTACAGCTATTTGGTACCATTATCGATACTCGTAAGTCGTAAGTAGAGTGTTATTTTTTAACAAATGTCAGGTAATCTTTGACATCCTCTGTTGATCCAATAGCAATCGGTGCGCGTTCGTGGATCTCCTTCGGAACTATGTCCAAAATATCGATCTTGCCATTTGTGGCCATTCCTCCGGCTTGACTGACTATGAACGCCATTGGATTACATTCGTACATTAGACGAAGCTGGGGAAAAACGAGAGGGGATAATATTGTGAGGATAATGCGTGAAGGTTAAGGATATTGCGGACATGTTTGGGTAGTTTTGTGCTGCTTTTTTGGGTGAGATAGTTACCTTTCCCTCGGGACTCTTGCTGTTAGCTGGGTACATAAATATTCCACCGTAAACCAAAGTTCTGTGCATGTCGGATACCATAGAGCCGACGTAGCGGGCTCCATAAGGCGCTTTACCATCCTATAGGTCAAGAAAAATCAGACTCTTCCTAGAGGTCCAGTAAGGATCATCTCTTATTGATCCAGTGTTACTACAAGAGGAAACCTAAACTAAACTAACTTTATTTATACTGGATATCTCTATCAGTTCTAAGCTGTTCTTGATCCTAGAGGCCAAACTGTAAGGATAATCTCTTATTGATCCAGTGTTACTACAGGAGGAAACCTAAAATAACTTTAAACGAACTGTTCTTCCTACAGGTCCAGTAGAATTTTTCATATCCAAACCTTGGGATTTTTCACGGACTCGATATAATCCTTTGTTTCTTTATCAAAATACTTGTAATATCCTTCATTGATGCTGTAAATCTTTCCTCGCGGTTTGATTCTGATATCTTGATCAGTCAACACAAACTCACCGATGGACTAAACGAAACAACACACGCTCGGAATCCTTGTCAAAATGCACGCTGTTTTGTTAATATTGAGGTGAGCAAATTCGGACAATAAAATACGTTTGGCTTTTGATGATAAAGCTGTGTTTTCCGTGGGCAATTTGTTTGCAAGTGTCTGACATAAGCTCTGAGTGTTAAATTTTTAGTTTCATGTTGTCTATTGACTAATAGTTAATTATTTTATGTTAGGTTTACCGGATCCAAAGTGAATCCATTGACACCATTACCAGTACTAAGAACAACCATGGTAGCACTACCATATAAGGCATAACCAGCAGCGACAAAGTCACGACCTGGTATCAATGCATCAGCTTGCTTCATTGGACCTTCGGATGGCTTGGAAAATGGTAAAAAAAGTGTGGTGAGTTTTTTTGTAAATCTCTTAAAACTTGTTTGATATTTGAGTGTGGTTTTGTAAACAGTAATGTGTGATGATGCATCACATGTCAGATACCTTTTTTGCAATGCCGAAAATTGAACCAATTGAGACCAAGCACTCAATGTTTGAAGAGCCATCAAGTGGATCAAAATAGACAATGTACTTTCCCTGTTGGTCAAGCTCAACCTCGATGACCGTGTCATTCTCCTCAGAAACTAGCAAACATGTCTGAAATGATGACTTCAACATGTTTATAAACAGTTCATTTGCAATGACGTCCAATTTCTGCTGTGTTTCACCTTGGACATTTGTGACCCCAGATATGCCATACCTATGTTGAGAAGTCGATGAAGATGATTTCATGCTTTTACAAAAACAATTTTGAGAGCAATGATGAAGTGTGATGTGTCTGGGCATAGAAGAAGATATGGGCATATATTGACCATTTGTGATGGGCCAGTTTGAGCACAGCCAGCACAAGTTCTTGCTAAAATCCTATCTTTGAGGTCATGCATCAGGTGGTGGACTTCTCTGTGGTTGAACTTCTTCAACCTCAGTTTGCTGTCCTTGTCAATTACTGACTGTTTTTGTGGTCAGAAGTAATTTATACACTGCATAATGTTGAGATTAACTTACAATTTTGCTATACCAGCTTTCCTGACAGCTGTAGACACAGCCTTGATGGCTGTCATAAGAGCATTAAGGAGTCGTGTAAGGTCCCCGCTAGCATCTGGATGTTGCCGTTGTTCATTGAGGACAAATCTCGTCAGGGTCATGCAGTTTGAGTCGACCATGATTGCTTAGAAATACTGGGAATTTAAATTTTCAAAAATGCTTTAATATGTACACATGGCGTACCTATTTTTAACACAATTTCAATATCTGCAAATTTACGAAAAAGTGTTATGGGAAGGGTTAGATAGTAATAGCAAATAACCATAAAGACTTGATGCTCCTATCTTTGGCATTGGATCACTGATAATGGTGGCTTACCCAGTGGGCTGGTCTATCATAACCTATTTGGAAGGCAAGCAGTTGTTTCACCTAACTGTTAGTATATAACATGTTCAGTTCAATGAGGTATTTTACCCTGTACAGTCGCAAAAAAACAGCGAACAGCACCACAGAGCTATCCACAGCTGTCTCTGGTTGACTGGTTGTACCATATTAACTGGACCATTAAGATTTCAAGCAATTTCGACCATAAGTGCACTTGATTCAACACTTTACTAAGATGATTTCACCCATTGGTTAGAGATTTTAACAGTTACCTATTATGTTTTTATATCTAATATTACCACGGAAACTACCACCAATATTTTATGACTTGGTGCTTACTAAAGAGTTACATAACTTGTAAACAATTATATAATTCACCAATAGTATAATATTTAGACATTTTATATAAAAATTCCTACTAGCTCGCTCGATGTACGAAACATTTCCTTTAGGAAGAGTATAAAATCCAATCGTACCTTTACAATGTTATATCTTTTTTGTAAAAAAAACACAAACAACTTTGTATGACACGTCGAACCTTGCACCGTGAACTCTCCTGCAGCTCAACTGTGACTCTGGACGATTTGCAATATCTTTATATTCATGAAGTATCGGGGTTGTGCTCTTCATGGGCACATGGGTTTTGCTTCAGGAGGGTACGTAAGATAGAATTAAAATTGTGCCTAAAATTTTTCATATATTTAAAATCTATTCGCAATTAAGCTCAATGGGTATACCATAACTGTGATTCAAGTCTAAAAATTTTGAGAAATGCTTCAAAAATTATGTAAAAACAACCAAAGGCTATTTCAAATTCTTAATATTCCACCCACCCCCGGTCAGTATTCAGGCACGTACATACACGCGCCCTTTAAACGCCCCCAAATCTCGCACCACGCGTGTAATTAGGACATAAAAGGTTCTTTTCACGAACTGCAAAACAACATGGCAATGCTAAGAGCTTTTTCCAGCAAATGTTTTGCTTTTCCCAGGTCAAATCTTGGTGTTTTAAGCAAGTGTGCGTATTCTAACGGTGCTGACTTGTTGATAAATGAACCAGAGTTTGCTTGGTTGAAAGAATTGGGCCTGAAAGCCGAGAATGACGGAGTGTACAACGGTTCTTGGAAAGGCAGTGGGGAGGTTTGTACAAGGGGGTACCTGGGGCGAGAGGAGAGGGTATAGGTTGTCTAATCTGTTGCACCTTAGAAATAACCATCAATTGTCATAGTAAATGCAAAAATATTAATACAATAGGATGCTTGATTCTGACACTCATTTGTTCCATAGTGCTGAGTGATTACATGCATATGGTGGTAGGTAGTGTTACATGGTGTTACATAGACGTCGCATGGGTTAAACAGTGTTACAATAAAATTGGTGTTACATGCTGTCGCACAATGTTAGGTAGCGTTATGTAACATTTATGTGACATAATTTTAGGTTGTTACATGTTTTTTGTGGTGTTAAACCATGCTTTGAACGATTTCGGATTTTTTTAAACGATTTGGAATGATATTCCAACTATTTTTAAAATATCTGTCCTTTTTCAGGTGGTGACATCCTATTCCCCTATCAATGGCAGACCCATTGCTCGCGTCACACAGGTTTGGAACAATATACCACAACTCCAGGATATTTCTTAATGATGGTCCATTTTCCTGCCATCCTATGAAACAGATGAAGAGATTATCACCTTACCTAAATTTCATCTGTGCATGATGTATAAATTTGTGTACAATTTTAGGGAAGTATTTCTGACTACAAGGAAAGTGTATCATTGGCGAAAGAAGCTTGGAAAACCTGGGCTGCAGTAAGATTTTCTTAGACTGCATGATGTATCGTTTCACAGAAGTCTAACAATTGAGGATGAAATTGATTGTACTATTCTTCAACCAGGTCCCAGGTCCTCACCGTGGAGAAATTGTCCGTCAGATTGGTGAGGAGCTTCGAGCCCACAAGGAGAACCTTGGAAAACTGGTTAGATGCTGTTGAAAACTATGATTATTGTTTGTTGAATGATAATATATGCTGATGGTTATATGTTTCTGCTGCTAGCTTTCTTTAGAAAATGGGAAAATCTATGTGGAAGGTTTGGGAGAAGTCCAGGAGTACATAGATGTTTGCGACTATGCAGTTGGCTTGTCCAGAATGTTTGGTGGACGTGTCTTTCCGTCTGAACGTGAGTACTTTCACACTTCAAATAAGGGGTAATTTTAAACCCACAAGAACTCCTATAACCTTGCATTTTAAAAGCTAAAAGTGATGATTAGAACAAACATTTGTTATATTTTTCATGGTTTTTAGTTGTGAAGTTTTTAATTCTCTTAGGTCCTGGTCATGTTTTGATGGAGCAATGGAATCCTGTAGGATTGGTTGGGGTCATAACAGCCTTCAATTTCCCAGTTGCTGTCAGTGGCTGGAACCACGCTATTAGTTTGGTCTGTGGAAATGTCAATCTATGGTGAGTTTGATATTATGTGTGCTTTGTATATTTGGTACCAAAGTAACTATCCTTTTTGTCCCATATGTTCATAATTGCCTGAATCTTTACACAAAATGAAATTGTGTCTGTTGCGTTTGTTTTCCAGGAAAGGAGCCCCTACAACGCCTCTTGTTAGCGTCGCCATGACGAAGTAAGAACAACCTTTTGAACTAAACTCGCTGTATTTTAACTAAAATTCTTCTGCAGACATTTCTCTACCAGCAGAACTTTGCTCTAAACAATTTTCCCGGTTTTTGTAGCATCGTCAGCAAGGTCATCACCCAAAACGATCTACCAGGTTCCATCTGCTCTCTGGTACAGGGTGGTGCGGATATCGGGTATGGTGTTTTTTTATCTTTATGATCATGATACTCTACGTTCTCCCAGTCAAATCATCGTCATTTCAAAGATCGGAATTTGTTGACTGTTCTACCTTTTTCCATTTTGTTTCAAGCCAAGCGATGGCAGCTGACAAAAATCTTGATCTTCTGTCATTTACTGGAAGCACTCCGGTAGGTTTTCGACCCTCCGACTTGGTTTAACGTATTTACGTTTTGCGGTAAAATTTTCCCATCCAGAACTACTGCATGAGGTCAGAACTTTATGTCCAAGGCAGGAATCCCAACGTTCGCATTTCATTGCTTTCGGATACCGATACCGGCAGTCGAACTATTCCGTGATTGGTTAAGCTTATAGAGTTATCGCATTTGATTGGTTCATTTTCCTTGAAAGCACTTGTGATTGGTTAATCCGATAGAGTTATCGCATTTGATTGGTTCATTTTCCTTGAAAGCACTCGTGATTGGTTAATCCGATAGAGTTATCGCATTTGATTGGATCATTTTCCCTGAAAGCACTCATGATTGGTTAATCAGATAGAGTTATCGCATCTGATTGGTTCATTGGTTCACATCTAAACCTCGCTGCTGTCATTTCTAGGTTGGACTGCAAGTTGGTCTTGAAGTCAAAAAGAGATTTGGTGGGTACAAATATGTGCGATATTTTCCTGGATAGAACCATTCCCTGAGCCAATGCATGCTTGACAATTTTAAGACAATTCTTGCACGGGCCTAATACGAAATCTGTATTAATAGGGAGAGATCTTCTTGAGCTGGGTGGAAACAACGGGATCATAGGTAAACAACGTGTAAACTTTTCCACGTTAAATGTCGACGTTTTATCGTAACAACAAGGCTTGTATATACTTGCTTTGTCCGTGTTTAAAGTTAAAATATTGATTTTCAAGATGGCATTATTTTCAAGTGATATTTCTTACTGTAGTAATGGACGATGCTGATCTGGAGTTGGTTGTGCCCGCTGTTGTTTTCGCTTGTATTGGAACAGCTGGTCAGAGGTGTACCACCACGAGACGGCTGGTAAGTACTAGCTATATAGGGTGGACAATCGTCCTCTATCTCTAAATCTGCATTTATATCACATGTCAATTTCAATTGTTAAATAACCGCAACATTTCTTAGATACTTCATGAAAAGATTTACGACGAGGTTCTAGAGAGAATATCCAATGCTTACAAACAAGTTAAAATTGGAGATCCTCTTGACCGTAAGTTGTTTTAAGAAAAAGATAATGCTAACGTTAGTAACATTTCTTTGTCAATCTTTCCATAATTTCCTAGGCAATATAATTCCTGACCAATGTTTTCTCGTGTTTTCCAGAAAGCGTCTTATGTGGTCCCGTCCATACGGAAAATACAGTTGATATGTTTAAAGCAACGTTGGAAGACGTGAAAGGAAGTGGGGGAAAGATAAAAGTCGGTGGAAATGTAAGATTCTTTTTCTCGTTTTTTTAGCAATACCAATAATGTATAGCTAATAATAATGTATAGCTGACAATAATGGCTGACAAGCAGTTGTTTAGAGAAAGAAAGAGTGACGAACATTGAGAATAAGACAGAGTTGTGTCATGTCTAATTCATGCTGTGTGTTTTCGTTTCAGGTGTTGGATAGGCCTGGTTACTATGTTGAGCCCACGATTGTCACGGACTTAGCTCACGATTCCGACATAGTCCTGCGAGAAACTTTCGCGCCAATCCTCTACGTCCTCAAATGCAAGGTAGGTTCAAAACGTCTTCCCTTCGGCATGTAAACTGAACCAGATCTTTGATGTTTTCTGAAAACACGTTATATACGGGCTCTGTAAAGAAATTCGTGATGCTTCTCTTCCATTTAGAACCTGGAGGAAGCTGTCCAGTGGAATAACGAGGTAGATCAGGGGCTCACAAGCAGCGTGTTTACTAAAGATATTGGCAAGATCTTCCATTGGCTAGGGTGAGCTATTGTGCTATCAATTTCCCGCTTCTTTTCCAACGTTCCGGTGGGAAGAAACCGGAGCTATTAGTGCAAAAAAAAATCGACCTACAGAAGACCGAAGAATAGTCTATTTTTCGGTCATGCATGCTACGCGAGTTCAAGAATGTTGCTATTGTTGCATGATTTCATCACTTGCTGACGTGCTTTCCGTTGTTAGGCCGTTTGGTTCCGATTGTGGCATCGTTAACGTAAACATCCCGACGAATGGCGCCGAAATTGGTGGAGCTTTTGGTAAGAAGTTGAACATGAAAAGTTCATGAGGGTTTGCAACGGGGAACTTATATAAAAGGCTTTTTTATATTTTTGTCAAGACTGGCAAAGAAACTGACCTTTCCAAAATTCGCATAACTCTACTTTTCCTTTCATCCGGTCTTACATGAATGAAGACCAATCAGACCAATTGTCCTTTCAGTTCACAGGCTCAGATCGTCACTATTTTCTGGTAATTTTTTTCAGGTGGCGAAAAACACACTGGCGGAGGAAGGGAGTCTGGGAGCGATGCTTGGAAACATTACATGAGGAGATCAACTTGGTAAGTTAAACGACATTCAGAACTAAGTCCCTAGTTCCACACTACGGAAAATTGCAAATATCTCTCGTGTTTTATTAGTACCATCAACTACAGCGATGATCTGCCATTGGCCCAGGGGATTGAGTTCTAATCTTCATCTGATTACGTCATAAGCCGGAACAGTGAGTAACTGTTGTGTGTGCCTGTGTTTGACCAGTGTCACGATATACAAATGTGAATTAATCTTGCTACTTCTTAAGATAAATTCACACACAATAATAGAATATATGTAGAATGCAGCGTAGCGGCAATAATATTTATTAAAGCCTTGGTATAACATCCCTTCCGTGTGATTTCTTTGCTTGAAAGTGCGTCTTTCAAGAACTTTGGCTAATATTTCCGGAAGTTGCCAAAAAATAACAAAACAAAAAAAATTCGGAAAAAGGACGTCTTTGGGAACCATTATAAAGAACAATTATAAAAATTATTCCCTCTAATTAGACTTAATTGATTTTTATCTTGGTTCTTTGGTTCTGGCCTTTATCGAGGGGCTTTTGAGGCAATTTGTGACTGGTCTATTTGTCAATGACCTTTTAGGGCAATTTGGGCTTTGCCAAGTTTTGCGTTACCTGGCAACAAGCAGCGCAAACATATTCCCCAACGTTCGTCACTTGCGCAAAGCCTTTTGCACGTATCTTTCGGTCGCGCGTTGCATAAATTACGTCTAACGTTTTGTGACGTCATTTCCGGTCTCGTCATCAAATGGCGTGGGAGGTTGGTTCCGAATCTTGTGTCAGCAGTTAAAAATTGCGATTCTTCAAGTGTGTGTAAATTTTTCCATTTAAACATGAATTAACCGGCGAAAACTTCATCTAAAACGACCGGAATTTCGTCAAGGCTTGCCAGATGAATGGTTTATCATTCTCGGAGATCTGCTGCCTGTTTTGTTGCCCGCCATGTCCATCGAAGATCGCTGCAAAGCTTGCATTCCTACCTCCCGAGCCGACCTATTCTGTCACGACTCACGAAGACGGTAATTTTTCACTTCATCTCACAGAACGCGCAGAATGGCAATTTAGCCAGTCGGAACTAGACAACATCGAAGTATTTAAAACGAAATCAAAGAACGGGAATAGCATTTGTTGTATGTATGTGAATACGTCGCCAAATGCGCGATTTACGTTGCTTTTTAGCCACGGCAATGCCGTCGATTTGGGTCAAATGTCGAGCTTTTACATTGGGCTTGGCCAGAGAATAAACTGCAATATTTTATCGTACGATTACTCAGGGTACGGCGAAAGCAGTGGCAATGCCTCCGAGAGTAATTTGTATTCGGATATAGAGGCAGCCTGGGGTGCGGCTAGATCAAAATACGGTCTCAGCCCTGAAAATATTGTCCTTTATGGCCAGAGTATTGGTACAGTCCCTACTATAGATTTAGCCTCGAAGTTCGAGTGTGCGGCCGTGATCTTACACTCTCCTTTAACATCTGGTATGCGGGTTGCATTTCCTGATACTAAACGGACGTGGTGTTGCGATGCTTTTCCAAGGTAAATATAGTTTGATAATATACATGTTTATGTTACATTCAAGGGGAATATCACTTCATATACCCCACCTGAATAGCGGGTAATATCTGATATTCCTTTCAATATCATCTGTTACAACCCACCTTTGTATGCATCACAATATGCAGGGTCTGATTTAATTGGCTTGTGTCAAATTTTCTAAGGCAATATTGTCCCATATTTCCCCTGCAATATAATGTCACAGGTATATATCACTGTATTTAGGCATATTATCTCAAACTGTGTTTAATAAGTTGCAAAATACTTGGGTCAACAAAATGTTGAGTCAGTCTATCATAATGTATATCATATTTCCTTAAATAAATGCCAACCTCAAACACGGCAGGTTATATAGAAATTTATTAAACTTTCATCTCAAAAAATACCAAAGCACTTATTCAAGGAAATATGACAACATTTTGGTGGTAAATATTTTAAATCCTAATGAGAAAATACAACTAAAAGCAAAACTGATTTTGTAAATTTAAAATCAGCCCAAAACAAAGGCAGCGTATTGTGTTAGATAATAACTACAAAGTCAGGATTATGTTGTTTACTTTTTTGCAACACTTTTAAGGTCATGTTGTGTGTGATTTTTCGTGCACTTTTCTTCATTTGATAGATGTGAACGAGTGATTTAGTCATTGATGTTCAAATAAGAGCTCTTGTACATCAGAGCATTTGTAACTAATTACTTGTTCACATCTATCAAAAGAGGAAAATCACAGCAAAAATTGCAAGTGTAAGATTGGTAACAGATTAGAAGTTACTGATGTTCAAATAAGAGTTCTTGTACATCAGAGCATT